ATCAGGCAGGTAGGTGGTGAAGTGGATAGAGCTCTGGCCTTGGAGTCAGGAGGAGTTCAAATCTGCCCTCAGATACTTGACACTTACTAGCTGTGTGACCCTGGGCAAGTCACTTAACCCCAACTGCTTCACCAAAAAGATATATATATATGTATATATATATATATAACTTTTATGTCCAATGAAGAGTCAGAAGCTTAGAATGAGCTGAAAATGGTAAGGAACACTGAGGACAACCAAAAGGGAATATTTTTTAAAGCCATATTAGGAGGATATTGGAGAATTCAATCCAATTCAATTGAACAAACATTTATATGGTCATATTATTTGCAGAAATTATCCCTGCCCTAAAATAGATTACATTTTAGGTTTGGATTTTAGGGATCCAAACAAATAAGAAGGTGAGTAAATACCTGATAATTGGTTGTTGGATTGAGCATTAACCAAGGGGATCGAGAAAGGCTTCCCAAAGCGTACAGGGACTGCCATGTGAAATGAGCCTCAAAAGAAGTTAGAGCTTCTAAGAGGTGAAGAGGGGACTACCTGAACCGAAACATGGAGGAAGGAAATTAAATGCGAAATTTGAAGATTAGCAAGTAAGCCAATGTAGGGGCACATGAAAAGGAGTCACATGAGATGTGTCTGAAAAGGTAAGCTTCTGAAGGACTTTAAATGCCAGGTTTGCATTTTATCTCAGAAGCTTAAATAAGGAAGCACTGAAGATTTCTGAGCAGGAGAGTTGTACAATCAGACCTATACTTTTGGAGGATTACTTTGGCAGCTACTCAGAGGCTGGAGTGAAGAAGAGAAACACTGGAAAGTAGGAGTTCAGTTAAGACATCTTGGCCATCGCCCAGGTGAGAGATGATTAGGACCTAAACTAGGGTGACAGCCAAGTGAGTACACAGATGGATGAGAAAGATGTTGGGGGGATAGAAATGACATGGCTTAGGAGGCAAGATGCTTTGTACTTGTTCAGATGCCTACAAAGCATCCAAGGGAAGATGTCCTGGAGGCAGCTGATGATGATTGGAGTTCAGAAAAGAGAGTACATATACATAGATAGATAGACATAAATAGAGATGGACAGATAGAGATAAATAGAGATAGATCTAGAGACAGAGATACAGATAAACAGATAGATGATAGATAAGTAGAAATGGAGATAGATGACAGACAATAGATAGATACATAGATAGATAGATGGATGTTTTTAGGGAGTTATCTGCACAGAAAGGATGGTTGAATTCAAGACAGCTAATAAAATGACCAAGAGAAATATACCCCAAATACATCAAAGAAAGATGGAAAAGGCCAATATGTACAAAAATATTTACGGTTGTACTTTTGTAGTGGCAAAGAACTGGAAACCAACGTTTCCAGTTCCCAATCAATTAGGGAATGGCTGAAGAAATTGTGTTATATGAACGTAACAGAATATTATTGTGATGTGTTATTGGAGAGAGGGGATTATCAAAAAGGCAAGCTCCTGGAGGACATGGAAGGGTATGGGGTTCAAGGGTACAAATGCAGGAAAAGATTGATGCTTAGGGTAAGTGGGGCAGTAACAACAGATGATATAGATAAGGGAAAACTACCTCAACTCAGCTTTTATCTTTCCTGCCCAAGGAGAATGGTGTTTGGATTCAAAAGGACCAAACAAAACGAAATGATTAATGTGAAATTCGATTCTATTCAACAAGATAATTAAAATTGAAACCCAAGATAGTTAAGTAAATAATGAGAGCACTTAGCTTCCCGGGATGAGTTCAGCTAATCAGACCCAGACAAACTACATCCCAGGGCACTAGAAGAGCTGGCCAAAAGCTGCCTCAGGAAAAAAAGAAGGAAAAATGTTATACCAATTTTCTAAGGAAAAAAAGGAAGATAGTGGGATTGGCACGCTGATAACTTTGACTTAAAATTTTGACAAAGTCTTTATATGTATTACTTTAAAAATCGTGGGTGAACATCTTGAAAAAGAAGCTGTGATGTCAAACAAGAACAGGTCAGCTGTGTGTTGGTCAGTTTTGCTAAGCTGCTTTCCTTTTTTTTATTTTTTGTTACAAAGGATGGCTCAATGGGTAGGGGAGGGAGGGAAGCATGTTTTAGGAAATTAAAGTGATTTAAAGATAAAAGATAAGAAAAAATGCTTAAAAGACAATTCACATGGAAGAATCCAACTATATTAAACTGTGAAGAAAAAAACCAAGGAAATGATCATGTCAGACTCTTCATTTTCCTTTTCACAATTACTAAGCTGGTAGCTCAGGGGAATATTGTACATATGGTTTAACCTGGACTTCTGGCAGGTATTTAGCAAAATTTCTCATACTATTACTGTGGATAAGAAGAAATGTAAACTAAATGGTAGTACAGTTGAGTGGATTCTGAATTGAATAACTGAACCCAAAGAGTATGCAAAGAAAAAAAAAGGTTCAATGGAAACAATGTAAAATTTCTAGGAGAGTCCCTCCAGGGATCTGTCCTTGGGCATATGCTATTCATTATTTTTATTAATGATTTAGATGAAGACAGAGATGGCATGCTTATCAAATCTGAAGATGACACAGAGTTAGAGATGGACAGCTAACATCCTGAATGACAAGATTAGTATCCAAAATGATTGTAATAGGCTCAAATGTTGGAATCAGTTGAATAAAGGAAGTGAGGATGTTTAGTCTGGAGAACTGAAGACTCAGGGAGAACGGAATAGATATCATCAAGTATGTAAAGGGTTACCATTCAGGAAAGGGATTAAATAAAATCTTGCTTGACCTCAGAAGACAGAACTAGTAACCAAGTAAAGACATGAAAGAGAAAATTTTAAGTTGAATATAGGGAAAGATTTCCTAGCAAAGCTGTTCAAAAATACAATCAGCTGCCTTGGTGATACCATCATTTGTCATGGGTTCCATTATTTCTATGAAGATGTCTCTCTTGATTCTCAAGTCTCACATCCCCAATTGCTTTTTGGACAGCCGTAACTAGATGTCCCATAGGCATCTCAAACTCAACATGCCCAAAACAGAACTTATCTTTCCCTACCTAAACCTTCCCATCTTCTAATCTCCCTATTACTGTCTAGGGTACCACAATTCTCAAAGTTACCTAGACTCATAACTAGGTGTCATCCTTGACTTCTCACTCTAACTCATCTAACATATCCAACCCATTGCCAAATTTTGTCACTTCTACCTTTACAACATACATGCATACATACATACATACATACATACATACATACATACATATATCCCCTTCTCTTCACCCCCACAGCCATTATGCTAGTTCAGGTCCTTATTATCTCTTGCCTGGACTATTGCAATAACCTACTAATTGTGTAGCTATGTGATGAGGTGAATAGAGTACCAGGCCTCGAGTCAGGAGACTTATCTTCCTGAGTTCAAATACGGCCTCAAACACTTACCAGCTGTATGACCCTGGTCAAGTCACTTACTCCTGTTTGCCTCAGCTTCCTTATCTGTAAAATTAGCTGGAGAAGGAAATGGCAAGCCATGCAGGTGTATTTGTCAGGAAAACCCCAAATAGGGTCATGAAGAGTCAGACATGATTGAAAAACAACAACAACAAACTAATCAGTCTCCTTTTTTAATGTCTCTCCCTACTCCAACCCAACTGCCATTCAGTTGCCAAAGTGATTTTCCTTTAAAAAAAAAAAAGTCTGCCCAATTCCAAAACACTTATGGAACATGCTACCCACATCCAAAGAAAGAATCAATGGAGTCTGAATACAGATTGAAGTATATTATTTTCACTTTCTTTATTTTTTGTGTTTTTTTTTCCTTTTGCAAAATGTTTCTTCCTTCACAACATGACTAGTATGGAAATAGGTTCTATATGATTGCACATATATAACCTATATCAAATTACTTACTGTCTTCAGGAGGGAGGAGGGAAAGGAAGGAGGGAGAAAATTTGGAACTCAAAATTTTATAAAAGTGTAAAAATTGTCTTTATATGTAATTGGGAAAAAATAAAATACTATTAAAAAAACAGGTCTGCTCATGTCATCCCACCCTTCACCCACTCAATGATCTCCAGTGGTTCTTTATTACCTCCTCGATTAAATATAAAAACCTCTGTTTAGCATTTAAAGTTCTTTATAACCTGACCCCTGCCTACTTCTCCAGTCTCAACCTTCCCTCTATGCTTCTTTAATCCAGATACTGGCCTATCTGCTATTCCTCACACGCCCCTCTCTATGCCTATACATTGGCTATCCCACAGGTTTGGAATACTCTTGCTCCTCACTTCCACCTCTTAGTTTCACTGGTTTCTTTCAAGAGAGCTCAAATCCCACCTTTTGCAGGAGGTGTTCCTCTCTGAAATCACCTTCCATCTACTCTACCTACTAAAACATCCATATGTTGTCTCCCCCATTAGAATGTGAGCTCCTCCAGGGCAGAGACTATTTTAGCCTTTCTTTTCATCCCCAAGTCTTAGCACAGTGCCAGGCCCACACTAAGTACCTAATAAATACATGTTGACTGACTCATCAGTGAGTTTTCACTCACTAAATATATTTGAGTGAAGAACAGACGATCTTTTCTTAGAAGTATTGTACAGAGGAGTCTCTAGTTTGGCTAGCTGTTCTCTAAGCTACCTTCCAATTCTGACCTTTTGTGATTCTATGCATACCATTATATGCTAAGAAATCCTATAGTGTCATAACGACATGCCAGGGCACTTTGAAAAGCACATACTATGTTTCCAATATGTAAACTGTGACCACAATGAACTCATTGACAATAAGTCCTATTTAATGAATATATGTAATGAGATATATGTGTGTATGTGTGTATACGCACACACATGGTTTGCTCCAAAGTGATTACGGCATGTAAAGCATATGCTATACAGTTATATTTCTCAGTTAATGGTTGAAATACATAATTAAAATTTTTTTAATACTACATTACTAAACATTGTCAATGTTGGTATATAAATTAAAGTAGTTTTTTACTTTATAAATTTACCTTTGTTAAATTGATTTCCTTTATAACACATTGCTGGTTGTCTGTCTTTCCTTTTGCCAAGAATGCTTTCCCAAAGGCTCCTTCCCCAATCATTTTAATTACATCATATTTATCCATGGTTTCTGGTGTAGAAAAATGTCTGGAATGAAAAGACCTTAAAAATAATTCATACGTATTTTATAGTGATTAGGAAATTAGATGATTAATATGCTTGTAGCAAGCAAACTGAGGAAGACTATTTTACGGGAAATTCAGGGAAGAAAACCTCTCCCAACCTAAGACTCTCCCTCTCTGATAAATGGCTTGGCTATGCTATACTTAAAAACAGATTCATTCTGCTAAAATGTCTTTCCTTCCAAAGTTGAGTTTTAGTCTGATATTTAAGTTTCTTTATGGAAATAAAAACTTCCATAAAGAAAGTTAGCTACATAAGCTTACACACACACACACACACACACACACACACACGTATATTGCCTCTTTTTGTATTCCTAAGGCTTACAAAAGTGTCTGGTACATAGTAGATGCTTAATAAATATTTACTGATTGACGGATATATTTCATACATATTATCCCCCCACACACACACATATGTGCATATCTCAGCACAGGATAGTCAGGCCATTTATCAGAAAGGGAGAGTCAGGCTGGGAGAAGCTTTCTTCATTGTTGTTCAGTCATGTTTAGTCTGACTTGGTGACTCTTTTGGGGGTTTTCTTGGCAAAAATATTGGAGTGATTCGTCATTACCTTCTCCAGTGGATTAAGGAAAACAGAGGCTAAGTGACTTGCCCTGGGTCACACAGCTAGTGTCTGAGATTAGATTCGAACTCAGGCCTTCATGACTCCAGCCTCATGCTCCACTGAGTGACCTAGCTGCCTTTTAAGGTTTCTATAAGACAGACTTCCTCAGCTTGATGATTCTCCCAATAATTATCCCATTTTACCGAATAATAGTCACACCCCAGTTTTGTTTTGTTTTGTTTTCAGTCCAAAGATTGGTTCATAACCTTTCATCGCATTGTGGCCAAATGGTATGATTCTGTTCTTCATGCCACTTAAAAGGTAAACAGCAGTGTATTCACCAGTGGCATATGCATTTTTGTCTTGAGCATTGAGAGTCCTAATTCTCAGTCCACGAACATTGTCAGTATTCAATTTTAATATATATTCACGAATATTTCAGGCATCCTAATCTTGCACCAAAGACAGTTTGGTAATAAATTATTTTTAAGTAATACCAGCACAATTAAAAAAAAACACATAATGGTCACACTCCACTTTTTTGCAAAAAAAATTTGGCATAAATTCTGCAACAATTATGTGGTGAATATGGTATTGCTGCTATATACACACACACAGCAGCTAGTTGATACAGTGGATAGAGTGCCAGGTCTAAAGTCAGGAAGACTCACCTTACTGAGTTCAAATCTGGCTTCAGACACTAGCTGGGCAAGTCACTTCACAGCTGTAAAACAAACTGGAGAAGGAAATGACAAACCACTTCAGTATCTTTGCCCAGAAACCCCCAAGTGGGGTCAGGAAGAGTCAGACATGACTGAAACAACTGAACAACATATATGTGTGTGTGTGTGTGTGTTTCCTTGTGCTGTGGCTGGACAGCCCAGGAGCAAAGCTCAGGTTTACAGATACTGAGCCCAGGAGTACCCCCCCAACACACCTCAACCACACCCACTATGCTTCAAAAGCTCAGAGGGAATCTTTCCTGGGGGAATCTGGGGCAGCTTGGAAATCACTATTTCCTTTGGGATCCCCCCCACACACCCCAGGAAGGAAACTGCTAGGAGGCCAATCTGAGCTTTCCCATCAATCTGGGGGACGCTACGTCCGGGGCAAGAAAGCGACGAAGCCTCCAGCGCTGGGCGACCCCAGCAGCAGCTCTAGCCCGCGCGCCTGCGGACTCTGTTTCCCGTTGCCATGGAGACCGAGTTCTGCTGCCTCCCAGTCTCCCTTTGGACGCGCGACCCTCGCCTGGTTCTCCCCCGCCCCCCCAACCTTTCGCCCCAGACGAGAGCGCGCGCGTCTCCCCCTTTCCCCACTACACAAACGTCGGGCTCGCCCCCAGTTCACCTGCTCAGCTTTTCTTCGAGGCGGCTGCGGCAGCGACAGAGGGTCCCCAAGCCTGGCCGCTTAGCTTGCCCCACAGCGCCCCCGTGTGGCTGTGGGGAGGAGTCAAGTGATAGCTTGATAGGGGCTGGGACGAAAGCCAAGGCGTCATCCTGCACGGGAAAGCCGGGCAATAATGAACCTGCTCAGGGAGCAGTCGATCCCCAGTCCCTGTGCTCACCTGCTGCTGGGCTGGCCTTGCACAGCGCCGGTGATATATCTTTTAGGACAAGCTCGACCTGAGAACCCGTCAGGAAAGGTGGTGAATTAGGCAACATTTCTATCCGTCCTCCTCCACTCCCACCCTCAGCACCTCTCAGGTGGACAACAGTGTGGTGAAAAGAGCTCTGGGATCTCGGGTCAGAGAACTTGGGTTCAAATCCATCCTGTTGCTGTGTGACCCCGGGCAAGTTATTCAACCTAGCTAGGCCTCAGTTTCCTCACCTGTAAAACGAAGAAACGAAGGTGCTGGCCTAGACTGCTTCTAAGGTCCAAATCTATAATCCTAAGATCCCCCTCCCAACTTCTTGTAAAAATGTTACACTCAGACCTCATTGTATTTACATTTCAGTAGGGTACTCTTCGAGATCTTAAAACCCCAAAAGAATGACTATTATGGGTGGGATTCTAATCAAGATGACTCACAGGTACTCACCTGTTAAAGAGGCTGGGGAGCCTACTTCATGGAGAGCCATTGATAAATGAGGCGTAATGGAAGTGCCTTGGAGAGATTTGAGGTACCTACAGACGTTCTGTAATTGGTACCTGTTCTGCTGACCTTGTGGAGGACAGCAACCTTTTTGATTGGCTGCAGTTGCAGAATTGGGACTGGCCCTAGCCAGCCTTCACCTCTCTCTCTGTAGATCTCAGCTCTTGGTTTGGCCTTGATGACCTGGCAAGAGGCAATGCCTTAAGGGAAGAGGCTTTGGGCCCTCTCCTTCCAAGACCAAATGTGCCTCCATGAACATAGGCTTTGCCTGCTCAATATTTGTTCTTTAGATTTAGATGAAGGGATTAGAGGCTGTGACCTTGTGAGTTTTGAAAGGTCAGGAATGTGAGCCATCCAGGAATTAATTTTTTTTTTTACATGATGGATTTTACAACCAGCCCAGGATCAACACTCAAGGAGCTACCTTCAGGACTCAGCCCTGCAGTAACTGAGGCGGCAGCAATATCACACACATACGGACATGAACTGTTAGAATCTATCATCCCTCTCACTATACAACTTGCCTGCTCTCCCTTTCCAGTCCCTTGTTTCATTTATGGTGAAATGCTAATATGAATGTGATTTCAATTGTTTTAGCAACATCTTTGTCTTTGGACAAAGATTACACATTTAGATCAAGCACCTTAGGAAAAATGTGAATTAGGCAAACACCTGTACATGGTCAAAAAAAAAATTGTGATTCTTAGCACCTTACCTGAGGCAACTTTGGATTGTGGACTATTTTTTCTAATAGGCTGCTGTAGTATTTACCACTTTGGCATGGAATAGGTAATATATGGTAGCCAAAACACATTTTAAAATTTATCACCATTAGGTAAGTCTAACCAAGGCAAGGAGAACCTACCACTTCCCCTCTAGGATATATTTCACGCAAATTATCCAAACCTGTGTTGAACAAAGGCCAAATATAAGTTCTCTCCATGATCAACCTGATTTTTCATAAACTAACTTTCTCCCTCTCCCTCTCCCTCTCTTTCTCTCCCCAGGTTGCTGGAGTATTTGGATTTTAACATTTTTTTCAATCACCATTAGTTGTTGTAACACAATGTGGGATGGGAATCAATTTTGTTAAGTTGTAGGTAGCTAGCTAATAGTATAAATTATAAGGCTCAATTTTTTTTAAGGCAGTAGTGGGAAATGGGAAACACTTCAATTAAACAATTCTATAAAATTTATGAAGTGATTATTATATACTAAGTGCTATGCTAGAGGGTTTATAAAGACAAATAGGACTCCTTCCAGGCCCTTCAATTTCTAATCTAGCAGGAGAAAGAAGAAAAGATGCACAATAACTATAACACAAATTAGAATGTAAATACATAGGAGAGTTATAAACAAAGTAATCAGAGACAGTAAAGATTATGTTTACCTAGAGGGATTAAAGACAATTCGAGCCAGGAGTTATAAACAAAGGTACAGGCAAGGCTAGATCTTGGGATGGAGGAGGGAGGGAGAAATTGAGAAGAGACTGATTTTGACTTTGCTTTGGAGGTAGGGAATTGCAGGATGAGTTCAGGGTATAGCAAGTGATTAATCCAATTTGAGCAGACCGTCTGACAAAACTAGAAAGGATAGTTTGGAGCCAGATAGTGGACTCTTGAAAGTAGACCTTATTGGGATTTTATTCAGTAGGTAATAGGGAACCACTGAAGGTTCTTGAGTAGTAGAAGAGTGTGATGAGATCTCTGCATTGGAAATACTAATTTGTCAGAAGTTTGTAGGATGAATTAGGAGAGGTCATTGCAATAGTTCAGGCTAGGCAGTGGTAGGAGAAACAGAAAGAAGCAATCAGGTGGAAAAAATTTCAGAATTAGAACTGACAGAAAGCAGCCTAGGATGAATTCAAATCATCAAGCTATGAGGAACTATATCCTGAAGTCCTGAAGGAACAGGAAAATATCATGACTGATCTTTGAAAGATTATAGAGAATGGAAAGGGTGTCACAGAAATGGAAAAGGAAAAAGTGCCCCAGTTCACAAAGAAAGATTATGGTGTCCGTAAATTAGAGGCCAATGAGCTTGATTTCCGAAATCCTGGCAAAATTCTAGGATGTAATAAAATGTAGTGATCACAGAGAGCCAGTATGGCTTCATCAAAGGCAAGTCATGACAAATTCACTTTTTATTTCCTTTTCTCATGTAATTAATTATTAGAACAATGGAATAATGTAATTTTCCCAGATTTTATATATTTCCCCAAAGCATTTGACAGATTGGCTTATTACTTCCCCAGTATTATTGTCAATCTTAACTCTTCCCCTTCCCTATCCCTGCTGGAATATGATGTATTTCTATATTAACCTCTGTGCGTGTTTACTCTTTTACTCAGTTCAGGTAAGAGTGAGGTTCATCTAATGCCTCATCTTTCCATTCCCTCCTTCCGTGTTTGTATACTTTCTCTTGCACATCATTTATGAGAAAGCAAATTCTTCCCTTCTGCACTACTAAATTCCTTTTACTCCCCCTTATTTTTCCCCTCTTAAAACTCTCAGAATAGAATCAATACACCCCCAAGCCATGTTTTTCTTAACTCATTCAGTACCTCTTGAACACATTAAGGTTCTGAAAAGACATTTATTTCTTCTCCTACCAATGGAATATTTGCTCTTTTCAATTGCTCATATAAATTTACCTTTCTAGGTTTCCCTCGACTCCTATGTTTCTATTTCAGAGTTTCTATTCAACTCTGGTCTTCCCACTAGAAACGTCAGAACATCTTCTATTCCATTTAAGGTCCATTTTCTTCCTCTAGGATTATACTTGGCTTTTCAAAGTAAGTTATTTTAGGTGGCATACCTCTCTTTTTTTTTTTTGTCTTTTGGAATATCGTAATCAAAGATCTCTGGTTTTTGGCAGAAGCCGCCTTATCTTGTGTGATCTTAAATATAATTCCCGAGTACTTGAACTGCTTCTTTCTGACCACCTGATGTCTCTCAAAGGCAGCTAGGTGTCACAGTGGATAGAATGCTGGGACTGGAATCAGGAAGACCCGAATTCAAATTCCACCTCAGATACATAACTAGTTGTGTGATACTGAGTGATCACTTAACCTCTGTCTCAGAATAATAACAGAATAGTGTTGTTGTGAGGATCAAATAAGACAATATTTGTAAAATTCTTAGCACAGTGCCTGGCACACAGCAGGCACTTAATAAATGCTTATTCTGGGGGCAGCTAGGTGGTGCAGTGGATAGAGCTCCAGCCTTAGAGTCAAGAGGACCTGAGTTCAAATCCAGCCTCAGACACTTGACACTTACTAGCTACGTGACCCTGGGCAAGTCACTTAACCTCAATGCCTTACCAAAAATAATAATAACAATAAAAATTTTAAAAAATAAATGCTTATTCCCTACCTTCTTTCCCTTGGGGAGCTCACCACTCTTACTACCTTCTGACAGAGAATCTTGCAGGCTATACATGATCTGCCTTTCTTCATGCTAGCACTCACTTTCTGACTGCCTTGGATTCTGGCTGACTTTTTAGTGCAGTTTTACTATAGCTTCCAACTGGATTTCTTCTTTCTCATCTGGTCTGGCTGCAAACCTGAGGGTGGGCGTTGGATGATCCATCACCTGTTCAGGCAGCCATCTTGGTAGGAAGCTAGATGCCCTTAAGAGTTTTTTTTTTTAAATGTTACTGAAATATTTTTAAAATAAACAGCAAAGTGTACACAAAAATGAACGACTCCACAATTATTCTAATGCAAGAAATGGAAACTTTTATTATGAAAAAAGTATGAAAAGGTGACCAAATATTTTCAGAAAAATCATGAAAAATTATAATTTCTCCAAAATAGATTATAAAACAGAGAAACAGGTCCTGGTTACAGGTGAAATGAGAGATTACACTGAAATTGTGTGTACTTTTAAATAGTTTTTAGTATTTAAAAAAACTGAAGGCTATCAGCTACATAGTCTGTCATAGCCTAATTATGTATCTTTAATTCCTAATTATCTCCTACCTGCTTCAGTTTCACCTTAATTCCTTGATCCTCAGCTTAAATACTGTTTTTGCCTAACCAATTCCCTGTCCCCATCTCAGACTTGCTTTGTTCCTACTTATAAGTCCAAGTTTAGTACTATCTGCTTTGCTCTCTGATACCTAGCAACATCCTTTTTCTGTCCTACTCTTCCTCACCGTTCACACCTGACCTCTGATCCGATCGAGAAATTCATCTCACTCTCATCCTCCTATTTCTGTCCCATCCCCACTGGCTCCTTGATGTCATGCACCCTTCACACACAAAAACATAGCACAGTGCTTTGTACTTCAGAATGAATCATGAGATCATTTGACAGAAACATCCCTGCAGAGTGGAAAGAACACTGGAATACTTGCATGGACCGTTTCTTTACCTGTTGTCTTCTCCGTGAGCACGTGAACTCCTTGAAGGCAGGGCTGGTTTTTGCCTTTCTGGGTGAGCCTAGCACTGGCATGTAGTGAGCACCCTTAATAAATCCTTGCTTTCTGACTGACTGACCAACTGACTCGGTGACATTACAGTTCCCACCTCTACCGCTGTGCAATCTTGGCCAAGTCACAACCACTCTGAGCACCAGTCTGAGCCACCTATAAAATAAATGGTCTAGACTAGGTCTCCTCGGTCATTTCCAAGATCTAAAATTCTGTGATTCTGTTGAGACCTTAACATCTTTGTGAATTTATCTTTAAAATTACAACATACAAAACCATAATCATTATTGCGATGATAACCACATGGCTTCTCTATTCTTGTCACATTCCTTGCTCAGCCGTCTTCAATTATTTTCCCATCATCAAATCCCCAGCAAACACCAGGGGAAATACCCACCTGAGGAATTCAAAGCAAACATCTATCTTGTGTCCACCATGTGCCAGGAAATTCAGATGATAAACACAAAGAGTCCTTGCCTTCAAATAGCTTGTCTTCTCCCAAAGGACACTGTAGTCCAAGAACTGTCCAACCGAAAATATTTTGTCTCTGAAGAACTGACAATAACAGCTTGATTTTCCTCTCAAAGATTCATCTGTTCTTATTCTACTTCATTGGTGATACTCATGTCCTATTCTTTTTCTTTTTTTTTTTGGCAAGGCAATCAGGGTCAAGTGACTTGCCCAAGGTCACACAGCTAGTAAGTGTCAAGTATCTGAGGCCACATTTGAACTCAGGTCCTCCTGACTCCAGGACCAGTGCTCTATCCACTGAGCCACCTAGCTATCCTCATGTCCTATTTTTATCACTCATGCCTGACCTCTGATGTGATCTAGAAACTTGGCCCACTCTCATCTTCCTATTGCTGTCCATCCCCACTGGCTCCTTTGTCAATTAATGGAAAAGATCCTATTACGTAAGAACAAATGCACCACTAAAAATACATCCTATGACACTCTCATAAAAATGCTATGGAGTATAAATACGTAACATGTCAAAGTCTTGTTTATTAAGAAGTAGCAACAGTATCAAGACACAGGGCTCTCCCTTACCAAAGTATTTCAGGATTAAAAGTACACTGAATATTGAGAAAAGAAATCTCAAGATGTTTTCCCAGGGTGGCACCACTTCCCTTTCTGACATATAAAGAAAACCATTTACATGATGCTGTTCCAATTAGAAGATTAATACAGAACTAACATCTACTTCAAAAACCCACTGGGGTTCTAGATGTATTTTCTGGTGATATTCATCAAACTCCTCACCTTTAATATTCGCAGCTTTTATCTATTCTGTTGCCAAAGTAAACTTACACAGTGTTGATTACTTAATTTAACAATTCTTCTGAATCTGCTTAAGAAACATTTCTTTTGGAATTATTCATGATCCACACACTTTAATTCAGCTCTCCTCTTCAGTTCAGACACCCAATCTGGGTCATCATCATCTTCTTCAAAATCCCTACATGTGAGAAATGAAAATAAAAAGTCTTCATCACAGGCACTCAAATATTTGTTTGTTTAATACAAGATAACACAACCATTTTAAAAACAAGCTTTATTCTGCTCTCTCCCACCCTTTATTCTCCCCTTTCCTGACTATTAAATAGGTCTTAAGGAGGAGGAGATGATAGAAAAGCTTTACTAAAAGTCCTTTTACTAGTTCTATTATAGTTTTTTATTCCTAAATATTTAGCATGAAAAAAAAATAGTGAGGAATACAAGATTTGAAAAATTAGATACACAGATCCAAATCAACAATGGAATGAAATTCTGTATCTCAGCATTGTTTTATTCCTATAGGACAAAATATCATGCCTGTATTCCACAAGGGTGAAAAATAATATTAAATCCCCATGTTCAATATGAAATTATTGTATAATATTTCTGTTAAAGCAAACACATGCTAACTAAAATTTTCTATATTAATTTGAACATACGTGTCCTCTTCATCTAATCTAGGTTCAAGCCTCTCAGAGTCCAAGATGATATCATGATCTCCATCTACACAATCTGATGTTTCTGCTTCATCAGAAAGAGGTCCTTTCAGAAAATTATCTGAACCTTCAAAAGATTAAAAGAATATCAACTTTTAAAAAAAATTTTTAATTGTTTCATTCATACACATATGTATATATGTAGATGTAGATATATACACACAGATACATCATATATGTGTATATATGATGTATCTGTGTGTATACACACACACACACACACATACACACACACACACACACACACAACTTATATTCCCAACTAGACCATAAGATTCTTGAGGGCAGAAACCATGTCCTTGATTTCTGTCTCCCACATATAGTGCTGGGCATACAGTAGATACGCAAGTAAACACTTAATGGTTGGATGATTAAGGAATGTTATTTCTCCCCCCAAGAACAAATGACTCATATAGGTTTCCATGACCATTTCCAAATACACATCGTTTCTTTAAGTGCTATTTAAACAAGTATCAAAGTGAGAAAAAGGCTGCAAGAATATATCATAACTGCATATGTATCATGCATAACTTAGGATGATTGTTTCTGCTTACTAAGTTCTTTCAACTAAGAATTTTAAAAAGCATTTTAACATGGGGATCTTTGTTTAAATGACAAAAATGATGAAATACAACACAGTTTAATCCCTTTCCTTAAATGATTAATATAAGTATGGGACCAGGAATTGAAACTCAGGCTCTTGACTGCTAGTTCAAGCTTCTGAATAACAAAAAATCCAGCCCAAGAAAAGGCAAATCCTATTACAAATACTACAACAAAGAGTTGCCATGTCATTATCTACTCTAGCATGGAGCTTGATATAGTAACAACCTTGCTTGGAGCCTGTCCAAGGAGGTTTATCTACTGGAAGTAATACAGGAAAAAAAATCCTCCTTAATAGCCTCTCACACATAGAATCAACAATTTACAGAATTTCAGCACTGGGCCTTCAAAGAGCATTTAGTCCCAACCCCTCAATTTTACCTTATAGATGAGGAAACAAGCTAAGTGGTTTCTACATAATCATATAGGTAAATGGTAGAACTGAGGCTAAAACTCAGATCTAACTCTTTATCAAGGGCTAAAATTCTTTCATCTAATCATAATTGGTTGTCATTCCATCTCTCTACCTTAAGGCTTCAAACTCTATACTTCATCCATACCATGGTCTCTAATCCCTCAACCTCTCAATTGGGCCCTCACTGCAGCAAGGCAATCCTCAACAGATTCATATCCAACTCTCTACAGCGGCTCTTCCAAACCTTTTCCTCTCTTCCCAATCCTCTAATGGCTCTCTCTCTCCCCCAACCCTTTGAGCTGAGAACCTTGTCTCATATTTCACTGAAAAAACTGAGGCTATTCGCTGAGAGCTCCCGCTTCTCCCTCTTCCTTATTTCATGTCACTCAGGTGCCCTCTGATAGCTACTATTTCCTCCTTCACCCCTGACACACATCAAGAGATAGCCCTTCCCTTTGCCAAGGTAAATCCCTCGCCATGTACAAGTGATACCGCTCTACTCTGTCTTCTCTGGTGGCTTGTCTCCTCTATCATCTCACTCTCATTCATTTCTAATCTCTTCCTGTCTACTGACTGTTCCTCTATTGCCTTCAAACTATATCTTCCTCACTCTTAAAAAACCAATCACTTGATCCATCTATCCACTTTAGCTATCATTTAACTATCACCCTATATCTCTCCTCCATTTCCCAGCTAAAATCATTAAGAAAGCCATCTATAAATGGTGTCTTCACAATCTTTCCTCTCATTTTATTCTTCCTCTCTGAAGTCTGGCTTCCAACTTCATCTACATCATCTCTGGCACAGAGTTACCAAGAAGAACAGCATTTTGGCAAGGTTCTTGTTTATTATTATAACAACCACCCCACATACACACAAACCCTAATTTTTAAAAAAATCTCCTGAGTTTCTATTTTTGGCTTACTATTTCAAACAGTATTCAATAAAACAAAATTCCAGTAAAATAAAATAAATTGGACTAACCCTTGGAGTTCACCACAGTTTGTTCTGAACTATAAAATATCAATACTAAGGTAATCAAATTTTTATTTGTTAAAATAAGAGGGATCAACATATATCCCTCTTAAAAGGACAGCAAATTTATGATCCAGTTAATCAAATAAGCAAAGGAGTTAATAAAATAAAAGTAAATCTATAACAGATTTTCCTGAAAATCCTATAATTTCTTATTGCATTTTAATTAGAATATGAAAATTATCTCTGAATACTTTCAAATGTTAAAAAAAATTCTAACAGATTTAATTTCTAAGCACTTATGTGAGCATATGAAGAATAGTCATTTGTTACCTGATTTATATATTGTGTAAGTCTGAAATGCCAAGCTAAGGTCAGCATTCTTAAGGATATTCAACAAAGTTTCAGGAGATTCTTTGAGCCACTGCTTCCTGGTATTATTTTCACTGTACTTTATTACAGATCCACCTAGTTAGGGAATGCTCAAAGGATTAGTATGCATTAAAACAATTGCCTGACATGGAACATAAGATTTATCTTTCAAATCATATCTCAAAATTTAAAAAGGCACTGTTTTTACCCTTTTAAAAACTTATTCCATATTCATGAGCCATACTTAAGTTCACACTGACACACTGACATCAGAAAAGCAGGTTACCAAATAATTCTTAGAAAGTTCTATATAAAAATGGTTAATTTTGATTACATTAAATTTAAAAGGTTTTGCATAAATGAAACCAATGCAGTCAAGATTAGAAGGAAATAGAAAACTGGGGGGAGAGGGGGAATTTTATAGGAAATTTCTTGATAAAGGCCTAATTTCTCACATATATAGGGAACTCAATCAAATTTATAAAACTACAAGTCATTCCCCAATTGATAAATGGTCAAAGGATATGAACATGCAGGTTTTCAGAAGAAATAAAAGCTATCAATAGTCACATGAAAAAATGATCTAAAAGCACTATTGATTAGAGAAATGCAAATTAAAACAACTCTGAGGTCCCATTTCACATCTATCAGATTGGTTAATATGGTAGAAAAGGAAAATGACAAATGTCGGAAGGGAAAATTAGGATACTAATGCACTACTGGTGGACTTGTGAACTGATCCAACCATTCTGGAGAGCTATTTGGAACTATGCTGAAAAGGCTTTAAACTGCGCATACACTTTGATCAGCAATACCACTACTAAGTCTGTACCCCCAAAGAGATTTTCAAAAAGGGAAAAGGGCCTATATGTACAAAAATATTTACAGCAGCTCTTTTTGTGGGGGCAAGGAAGTGAAATTGAGGGGATGTCCATCAACTGGGGAATGGCTGGACAAATTATGGTATACGATTGTGATGGAATCCTACTGTGCTGTAGGAAATGAAGAGCAAGATGCTTTCAAAAAAACCTGGAGAGACTTACATAAACTGATACAGAGTGAAGTGAGCAGAACCAGAAGAACAGTGTACACAGTAACAGCAACACTGTAAAATGATAAACTGTGAATGACTTAGCTATTTTCAACAACACAATGATCTAAGACAATTCAGAAGGACTCATGATGAAAAGAACTGATGGAGTCTGAATGTAGATCAAAGCATACATTTTTACTTTCTTGGGGTTTATTTTGGTCTGTGTTTTCTTTCACAATATGACTAATATGCAAATATGTTTTGCACAACTGTATGTATACAACCTTTATCAAATTGCTTGCCATCTCAGGGAAGGTGGAGAGAAGGAAGGGAGAGAATTTAAAACTCAAAAATGAATATAAAATAACTTTTACATGCAATTGGAAAAATATTTTTAAAAAAATAAAAAAGAAGAGTTCTACATAATGAAATTAATTACATTCAATCTTATCTTTACATACCTCTATCCTCCTCTGACGTTAAACTGGAGGAAAGTATAGACGCTTTTTCCAAGGCATTTACAGCTGTATTGCATATGTTCTTCTCCCACTGTCTCCTCTGAGGGCTTGGCAAGTTCCCTTTCCTCAAATGGACTGATTTGTTTTCTTATTTATGGGATAAAAAGGAGAATATTAATATTATATTTATATATCTAGTTAACTAATATAGCACAACAAAAATGCATCATTCCCTCAAATAAAAAGTAGAGCAAGATTTTTTGACCTCTCAAGGCTAAAGAAAGTAAGAAATAAGGTACTTATTAAAGTGTTTCATATATTTTTACAGTATACATATGTATCAGTACAGTTTGATTAATGTTATGCAACCTCAGAATTTAAGCTCAAAGAAAGTTTATCCAATAATTATTCTATGTTGTTCTTGACCAAATGTGGACAGTCAATAAATAATATAGAAAAAAAATATCAGAAGATGTGAAGCAGTTTGGAAAATCATCATTATTCTGAAGTTATGTGAAAGTATCGACATTTTATATTTGAAACAAATATAGAAAAGCTTATATTGTTTGCTCCAAGTCATATGGATTACAAAATAATCAAAGACATCTAATTTAGACTGATTAGTTTTAACTTGGGAACACTCATCTTCTAAAATATAAATTAAAACTACATGAATGTACATATGTGTGTATGCATATATACAAATATAATACATAATGTGTCTGCATACAGATCGTATATTTATATAAAATAATTAATATAAAATATATTTAACATATACTATGAATATACACACATATATGTAGATATATAAAAAAACCACTGACTATTGGAAAGACATGCAAAAGTCTGCTTGCCTGGTTGTCCTGGAAACATATATGTGGGCATTTCCTCTCTATTTCCCCCTTCCCTCCCCTAAGGAGAATGACTATAGTAACTATAGAATTAGAGCATTAGAATTTTTAATATTTACCTTTTTCCTCTTTGCTTATTCGTTTCAGTGCATTTTCAGCCAAATTTTTATTAATGTGCTCTAAGTCAGCATGACTGCACTTTTTACCTTCTTCTTCCCCTTGCTTTAAAAAAAATAAAAAACACGGTTGTCACAAAAAAACATAAACAAAGAGAATCACGAGTTAGGAAGCACCTTGAGGGGACAGCTAGGTGGCTCAGTGAACAGAGGATTGGCCCTGGAGTCAGGAGGACCTGAGTTCAAATTCGGCCTCATACACATAACACTTACTAGCTGTGTGACCCTCAGCAAGTCACTTAACCCCATTGCCTAGCACCCCCCCAAAAAAAAAAGATAAGGAGAAACCTTGGGAATCCACTTGGTCAAGCCTGACCTAAAGTATAGATCCATGTACTTGAAGATATATAGGGATGAGGAACTCATTGTCTTGTAACCCAGCCCATTCTATCTTTTAATAGATCAAACTGCGAACAAGTTTTTATATCAAGTCAAAATCTACTCCCATGTAATTTCTGCCCTCTGAGAACAAGCCATAGGTCTAACCTTTCTTCTACATTTTAATATTTAAATATATTTGACAACTATCATGATCCACCCCAAGTCTTCCCTTTTCTAAGCAAATAAGCTCAAGTCCCCTCATCCAATTTTGACACATTAAGTACTTCATCATTCTGATCGTGTTCGAGATTGTCAATGTTGGTCCTAGAATCCAACATGAACACAGTATTCCAGAGAGAGGTGGTACTGTGACCTTCCTGACCAACCAAGCTGAGAAGAGCAGACCCAGCTCTCTTGGACTTTCTCTACAGCATCCCAGAATGCCCTCCCGGACTTTAATAACTACAATGACAGCTTCTCCCTCTGACTGGTTGGTTCCTTCCAAAACCTCCATTTTAAGAAGGAGGTCCAAGCCAGCCATGTCTTCATTCCCCTCCAGCCTGCCCTCCCGACTCCACTTTTCTGCCATGTCTCCCATGCCAGGTACTTTCATCTCTTCACCTTCTCTTTCCCTTCCCTCATCAATGCTTTTCAAATTCCTTTTGTGTGCTATCTTCTCCCATTAGAATGTAAGCTCCTTGAGGGTAGAGACAGTCTTTCTGTTTACATTTGTATTCCCAGCATTTAGTAAGGTTCCTGGTACATAGTAAGCAGTGACTGAACAAAAATCAATAAACATTTATTAAATGCATACTATGTGTCAGGTACTACATTAGGTTTGAGAAAAACAAAGATGAAATTGAAATAGTCCGTGCCTTCATGGAGCTTACATTCTATTAGGAGAGATATCATGTACATATGTAATTATATGCAAAAGAAATGCAATATGATTGGGAGGGGGCAACAGCAGGTGGGCAGTTCTGAAAGTCTTTCTGTAGAAGGCGTCTGAAGTGAGTTTTAAAGGAAATACATTTCAAGAAGCCATATAAAGCCAGGGAATTTACTGAGCAGGTCAGATCTGTGAAGGGCAGGACAGAATCCAATGGAACCCTCGATGTCCTTGTTACAAACAGTGAACTTATGCTGAGAGAAAGTTTATACAGAGTGAAGGACTTGGAAGTCCAAAAGATCTGGGTTCATATTCTGACTCAGAATCTTACTAGCTGGGAAAGTGACCCTCAGCACGTTGATCACCCTATTTGGGCTTCAGTTTCTTAATCTGTAAAATGAGACGAAACAGCCTCTGAGGTCTCTTACAGCTCTAAAATCTATGATGCTATGTTAATGTACTCTCTGTCCCTAGTTTGGCTTAGAACTCTCTAATGGGAAAATTCTTGATTAAAAAAAAAGGAAAAAGAGAAAATCATAAATGATAAAATAAATTCAATTACATCAAGCTGAACAGTTTTTGCAAGAGCAACCTCAATGCATATAGGCTAAGGAATGCTCTCCCTGCTGCTTCTCTCTCTCTTACATAACACCAACTGCCCTTACCCTCTTTTTCCAGTCACCATCCCAGCTGCCCTCAGGTCTTTCCCCTGACCCAAGCCCCAGTCCCTAGGGTAGTTAGCAAATGAGAACAGAGGGCTCTTCTTAGATTCCACTCAGGCTCTCAGCACATGAATGAAATGCTTTTTTCCACGGGGCTAGGCCTGCTGTCAACACTGGAGATTTGAGACAATAAAGGCTAAAATAGGAAACTGGGATCAGATCAGGGAAACCCTAACATGCTGGGCTTGGGAGTTTATTCAGCAGACAATGGAGAATCACCGTTGGTTTTTTAGCCAAGGAATATCTGCTTAAAGTATTCTTTGGAAAGGAAAACCTAGCACTGGTACATGGGGTAGATTGGAAGGCAGGGAGTCCAGAGTCAGATCAAGCACCTGCTCATGTGTATTTCTTTTATGAGTTTAAATCTCATCAGGATAGCTAGGTGATGCAATGGATAGCCCAGGAGGATCGGAGTTCAAATACAGCCTTGGATACTGGATACTAACCGTGCGACCCTGGGCAAGTCTACTTAACCCTGACTGCCTGGGGAAGAGGGGTGGAATCCCATCTACCTCAATGTAATAAGTTGCTTGAGGGGACATCGTTTTTCTTTTATTGTGTCTAGCACAAGCCTGGGTAGAGAGTTGTTGTTGTTCAGTCATTTTCAGTCGTGTCTGACTCTTCATGACCCCATTTGGGGTTTTCTTGGCAAAAATATTGGAATGTTTGCCATTTCCTTCTCCAGTTCATTTTATGGATGGGAAAACTATAAAAGGGTTAAATGACTCACCCAGGGTCACACAGCTAATCCAGATTTGAACTCAGAAAGATGAGTCTTTCTGATTCTAGGCCCGGCACTCTATCCACTGTGCCACCTAGGTGCCCTGGGTAGAGGGTAAGTAGGTATTCAATAAACACTTGCTATATTGGATTTTAAGGTACTTACCTCAGTAACTGCCTCATTTCCTGAGATTATATTTGTTCTGGCAGGGCCTGAGGGAGAAAAAAAAAAGAAAACATATATTTAAGTATTACTACTTCATTACTACTTATAAGGTTTTATGAGGAAGTTAAAACATTAGTTGGAACCAGTGGTACAAAGCTTTAACCACCCTAAGAGCAGCTCTCAGTTTTTACACCTTTCTACTAAGGAGATGGTCAGTTACAAATCTGATCATTATGGTGTTAAAGTGAGTATTCTGTTTGTGGAAAAACCAGTAAGAGCAAAAAGAATGCCAAGACAGACCTTTAACACAGATGTCCCCAGATGCCTGTCTTTTCTCTGCTAGATTATATTCCTTGCATCGAATGGGTTATCAAGGTCCATATGTGTGTCTAATTCGCCTAGAAAATGCATTAGCTATTAGCTGCACTCTTTCAATCACTGTATATTACTTTTGTTTCTCATGGGAAATAGCTTCTCCAGATTGTCTTGAAACATCCACAGACTGTCTCTCTGTGGTCCCAGGTGTGGACCCTCCTCTACTGCAACAAGTCCTTAACAATGCCTACAGCTAACTGTAATGACCAATCTTGACCAGGAAATGAACCTCCCTCCTTTTAGCTGGAGAAATGAGGAACTTCAGGTGCGGAATGCAGTCAAATAGGTCACTATGTTGTTGATTCTGCTTAATTGGTTTTCTCTGTTCCAAAGGAAAATTACACTGACTGGGGGCATGACATATGCAGAAATGACTAAGATGCAAAAACAAAAGACATCGATAGGGTTTTTTAAAAAAAATCAAGCCCTGAATAAGAGCAAACACTGAAATAATTCTAGAGAAACAAAACTAACTCTTGACCTCTAAAGGGGTAAAAGGGCAGAATTTTAATACTGGAAGGTATTTAAGCCCTACAAAAGCTGTATAAAAGCATGACTTTAAAATAACTTTTAAATTAAAATGTATTTTTTCAAGCCAGTCTTTGGGTCAAAAGATCTGGGTTCAAGTCTTGCCTCTGAAGCATACTGACTATGTGACCCTGGACAAGTCACTTAAATGTCTCATTTGTCCAGACAACTCTTTAATTAAGACTATAGGTTGTAGAGAGTACGCTGAACTACATGGGTAGATGGAGGTGTTCCTCATACTAATGAAATCAAGTCCAAGTAACCCCTCCAAAAAAAAAAAAGGAATTTTCAAAATTTAATTCATCTCTACCTCTCAGAATTCTTGCTTTCCTTTAAGGCGCAACTCAAATAAGTCTTCCATGAAACTCCCCCTGATTCCCTACTACCTCCCTAATTAATGCTCTTTTTCTCCTTGATTTTCCCTGCATTATATTTCTTTATGTACACGTTGCACCCCTACTCCTACAAAATGAATATAACCTTCTAGAGAGCCAGGACTATTTTGTTTTTGTTATTGTATACATAGTACCTACCACACAGTGCCTCGTGCGTAGTAGGTGCTTAATAAATATGTCACATTTAATTTTTTGTAACTTCATAGATGATTGAATTTTGATGTCAAAATGTATACTTTGATGGATCTGTAATCTCATCCATGTGGGCACTCCCTCTACCATGCATACTGCATCCTAACTATACCTTCCTACCCTGTACCTCTGAAGGCAGGTGGGTAGCTGGGTGGATGGAGAACTGCGTTGGCAGTCACAAAGACCTGAGTTCAAATCTGGATTCAGATGTTCCTTAATTGTATGATCCTGAGCAAGTCACTTAACTGATATCTGCCTCAGCGTCCTAACTGCAAAATGGTGATCATAATAGCACCTACCTTACAAGACTGTTGTGGGGATCAAATAAGATAGCTGTAAAACGTTTTGCTTAGGAAATGTTTATTTCCTTCTCCCCTTCCTTTTCCTTCCCCTTGTACATTTCCTGTCCATATTCTTCACAAATCTTCCTTTGAAGATCTACTTAGCTCTACAGATAGCTCTTCCAGCAGGTCACAGTTTCCATGCCTCACTCAAACTGTCCTTCTGGTATCTCTTGTTCTCACCCATGAGCAGCACATTCTTTTCTGGGCATACATTTAGTTCCCTGTATGCCAAATCTTGCATGCAAGTTAGCAATGGTAATACCCTACTTCTGTGCAGCATGCATCTTACTCTACTGTCCTTGCAATCATCCTCAGTCTTGAGCCTTTGGACAGCACAGTATTTCACGATTTACATGGAAAGGCAATGTATATAATAACAATAACTAGCATTTATAGAGTGCCTACTGTGTGCCAGGTACTGTAATGAGCACTTTATAAATATTATCCATTTGATCCTCACAACAACCCTGGGAGGTAGGGGCTGTCATTAGTGTAATGGGAGTGTTGGACCTAAAAGTCCAGAAAAACCTGGGTTCATAACCTGCCTACCTACATTTCCTAGATGTGGGACCATAGGTAAGTCATTTAACCTCTGTGAAACGCAGTTTTCTCACCAGCAAAATGGGTGAATAATACTGCCCATAGCACCTCAGCCTCAAGGGATTAAAGAGATAAATAAAGTTTATAAAGAACTTTATAAACCTTGAAACACTACATCTGAGTCAGTTATCATTATTATTCCAACATATATAGTATCACTGGAAGAATGCAGATGTTTCAATAATGGGTTTCTGTGTCATCAATAACTAGCGAGCAATTATGAAGCACCGACTCTGTGCTAGGCACTGTGTTTAGTGCTGGGGAGACAAAGAAAAGTAAAAACAATCCCCGCCCTCATGGAGCTCACATCTTAATGGCAGAGACAACCTATATAGATCAGAACATATGAGATAAATATGGAGTCGATGTAAGAGAACCTTGACATGATTGGCACTAGCAGCTGAGGGGATGGGAAAAGGCATTCTGGAGGAGGAGGGAACTACTTAAAGAAAGCCTGGGATTCTGAGGCCAAGGCTGGGAAGTGGGACAAAGCATTTCAGGCAAGGCAAAGACGCAGAACGAGACACAGAGTCTTGTGCAAGGAACAGCAAGGAGGCTGGCGTGGCTGGATCACTGAGTGCGGGGAGGGAGAGCAGGAGGATGTATAAAGACTGCAAAGGAAGGCTGATGTCAGGTTGTAAAGAGCCTGACCCACCAAACAAAGGATTTTCTAATTCATTCTCGAGTGATATGGTCAGACCTACCCTTTAGGAAAAATGGCTCGTTGGGATACAAAAACACAAAGTGGACTCTGTCCTGTGCCCAAAACTGAGACACTGCAAATCAATGCTGTGGCATTTAATAAAGCAAACAGAAGACATTACCACATCCCTATATCATTTTCACTCAGTGTTAACTCTCTGATGCTTGGTTTTGGTGTGGGAGACCTAGGACAATGAGGGGTCAATGAAAAGGGACAGAGAAATCCAGAAATGACAACATTCAGAAAAGCTATGGGATGAGATTTTAGAATCATAAGGCTGCTTAAATATCACCTAAGAGATTATCTAGCAGGGGCAGTTGGATATAGCACTAGGTCTGGAGTCAGGAGGGACCTGAATTCAAATTTGTCCTCAGACACTTACTAGCTGCATGACCCTGGGCAAGTTATTTAACCCTGATTGCCCCCTTAAAGGAAAAAGAGATTATCTAGCCCAATTTGAACCTTGCCTGAAAACAGGCTATGAAACCTTTGTAGACATATAATTTCATACCAATACTGTATATACGTGGCCTTTGGGAAAAACTTTACATAAGAACATTGCTTTCTACAAGGCCCTCGATTTAATAGGCTATACTTTAATTTGCTAAATAAAAATCACTACTAAAGTTATCAAACATAAATTCTGTGGTTCCTGAATGAGCTGAATGTTTACATCAGGCTCATAAATAAAAATAGCTTGAAGTGAAAAAACCAGCCAAAGAAAGAAACACACCCAAACCTCAAATCCATTTTGATTTACAGTATCTGATAATTATTTCACATTAACTTAAAATATGTTTTTCTCCTTGTAACATATGTAGGAATTTTTTTTAACAAAAGTTAGACTTTTAAGCTTCTGTTGTTCAGTCTTGTCCAATTCTTCATTACCTCAACTGGGGTTTTCTTGGCAAAGATATTAGTGTGGCTTGCCATTTCCTTCTCATGTTAACAGATGAGGAAAATGAGGCAAACAAGGGTAAGATCTTGTGCCCAAGATCACACAGCTAGTAAGGGTCTGAGGCCAAATTTGAACTCAGACCTCTTGATTCCAGACCTAGCACTCTATCTACTGTGCCACCTAGCTGCCTCTCTCTTACCAACAGTTAAATTAACATTTATAGGCAATCCTTAATATCCCTTGTATCCTTCTCCACCATTCAGTCATCATAAGCCCATGTAAGGGGGCTGCATTAGGTGAAGGGTATTTTGTAGGAGAGAGGAACCACTCCATCAAGGTCATTTTTGGGAAACCATAAGAATAAATTCCAAAACCATTACCCATTTTTGTTGGTGTATCATTCCTGGACTTCCTGGTTTCCTCTATTATTTGCTCACCATACTCTTTGATTACCTGTAAATTGAAATAGAATATTAGAAAATGTGCTGTAAGTAACCTACCTGCTCCTTAGATGCCATCATAGTGATGTCCATTTGCCAATTATCTATATGAGTGCCTGAAGTCGAAAAAGCCTAAATGTCAATTTGTCACATTTTTAAAAAATCAACTCATGGTCCAACTAAACATATCTTACCTCTGGAGACAAGCACTTCCGGATAAGCTTTGCTAAAGAGCCTCTAGAGAGAATTGTAGTAGCTGAAGGACGACTGGTAGGATCTCTCTTAAACATTTGCTTTATCAGATAGTGAAGCTCATAAGAGTAACAAGATGGGAGGGGATTGTAGGAGCCTTTGCATATCTTGAGGATAAGATTTTTCCAACTATTGGCCTGAAACTAAAATATTAAAATGAACTTTATTTTTTTAATATTTTATTTTTTCCCAATTACATGTAAAGACAATTTTTAACATTCCTTATTTTAAAATTTTGAGTTTCAAATTTTCTCCCTCCTCTCACCTCCCCCCTCCCTAAGATGGCAAGCAATTTGATATAGGCTATACATGTGCAATCAGGCAAAACATGTTTTCATATTAGTCATGTTGTGAAAGAAGACACAGCTCAAAAGGTAAAAAAGAAACACAACAAAATAAAGACAGCGAAAAATAGTATGCTTTGAACAGCATTCAGACTCTGGATGTGAATAGCATAAAATGAACTTTAAAAGAAGACAAAGGAAGTTAAAAAAAAAAGAAACATAAATGGATAAACAAGTAAAGGCTGAACCCTATCTTGGCTATTTCTATTTAACAACTTAGAAGACATTCCTGCTGACCCCATCTGCTCATCTGCAAGAAGTTCCAAAATAGACATCATTCTAACACCTGATGACTAGTTCCAAGTGGCTCAATAGAAAAGGATATGTAAGAATGCTTGAAAAAACAAACAAACCCTAAGCTTTGGCTCTCTCTGCATACTCTCCAGATAGTCCAAACATCAGTATCTATTTCCCACTTTTTTCTTACAGTCTTTAGTCAAAAAAATAGAGCTAATGAGCCCAGTCATGCATTTATTATTTCAATAAATAACAAATTTCAATAAATTTTCAAATTTCAAAAATTTAATAAAATTTCAATAAAAACAGAAAATATCAATAAATAACAAAAAATATTCTATATGTTACATACTAAATATGTTAGGTACCCTAGGCTAGACATTTTGTTCCCTCTTCCTATTCTAGGGACTATCTGAGAACATTGTTTCCCAAAGGTATTGAAATGAACTATTTATTTCGCAAAGCAAATCACAAGCATTTTTATTGCCAAATACTTTTTACCCTCCATGACATTTTGAACCTATGTGTAATTGGCTAATTTTTCTAAGCCTCAGTTTTTTTATCTGTAAAATGGGGGCTGAAGGGAGGATGGGACAGAGGGCCACTTAGGTCCCTGCTGGCTCTAAGTGTTATGATTCTATAAACCACTTCACAGAAGGTTAATAATGACTTTTCAAGACCATGTCCTCCAAAATAATGAGACTGCATAAGTTTCACTTACAGCCTATCCCATTTTTCCTTTATTCTTTTTTATAATGTGTATGTGCATGTATCTATACAAATACATACATTACACACATATATACGTACATACATAAATATATGTACATGCATATATACACATATACACACACATGTATATATACATGTATACACATACATACACGCACATATATATATATATTACACACACACACACACACACACACACACACACACACACACACACACACACACACACACACATATATATGATGGTATGATACTTTTCAGGTTTTTAAATCACTATTCCGGGAAAGTTAAATCTTAACTGGTGTGTGTTGTGGAATTTTACCAAGAAATGGAGAATAAGATATGCAACTTAATATTTTAGAATAGAAGTAAAGTTTAAGCCTATTCTTATTTAATGACGTAAGAACAGGGGTGAACATCTTGACAATCAACCTATGTAAAGTTTTTTAAAATTTTCCTTAGAAATAGAAAAAGCCTTAAAGAGATAAGAATAGTTAAGGCTTTTTCTTTTTTCTCTATAATCTGATATGAGCATGAAACAAAAGGGGAAAATGTGTACCCAACAAATATAAAATAAGAAAAAAATCTGGCTGAGCTAGGAGAGAACAGACTTGCTTTGATTCTGAAGCTTATGCTAATCAGTTGCTGGATGTGAATTTCTATGATCTCCAAAGGATCAAAAATGACTTGAGAAAATAAAGACAATATATCACAGATTTCTAATTCTTATTCACTACATCACAGTTCTTGATACATGTTCTCTCTTTTAAAAAGTGATCACTCATGCTTTTGATAGATTTTTGAAATCATTTAAAAACTAAGTTTGAGAGACCAAGGATATTCATCAAAAATCTGCTGCTAAAATCAAACATATCCTGGGTATTTTACCCTGGGATGATGTTACTAACTCATCATTACAAAAACACATATGTAACAGTGATCAGCTTTTCTTCAGAATCACTCACACCAATGTTTCAAACTCCTGCATATTTGTGAGACAGTGTTTTAGGGTTCAATTAGCAGCAATCAAACATTAATTTTCCTGTACACAAACTTAATGAGCTTTATAGGCATTAATCCTCCTTCTAGGATACTCTATTCCTACCACCACCCCACCACTATTCCACTGCCTGTCCAATTCTTAGCCATCCTTCACGACTCTGCACAAATACCTTCACCCCCATGAAGTGTTGCCTTCTCAAAGCATTTTCTCCCTCCTATATACTAATATGCCACTTGTTATCTTCACCATTACTCTTCAACATTTATTATGGTTAAGTATGTACAGCTGTAGCATTCTTGCTAGATTGTAAACTCCCTGAAAATAAGGATCATGTGTCTTCAGTGACCTCCACAGTATCGAACACAGTACCTGGCACATAGGATGCATTTGCTAAATATTTGTCGAAGTAATAAATGAATGACCCACCATTATTAGCACTAAGATCTAACCCAATGGTTCTCAAACTGTGGTCTGAGGACCCCTGGGGGGTCTCTGAAACCATTTCTGGGGGTCCACAAACTCAAAACTATTTTCACAATAATACTAAGATGCTTTAGTATCCAATACAGCATATGTTGGTAGATATAACCCACCAGACCAAAAGCTCTTTGGGAGATCCTCAACAATTTTTAAGGGTATAAAGCGGTCCCAGAGACCAAAAGATTTGAGAACCGCTGGTCTAAATAAAGGCTGGGCAATCTTAAAATCTTTTTGTTAACCTCTCAATAAAATCACAACCATTTCCTATATCTTTTTGCCTTTCTTTGTATCCCTGGTGATTAGCCCAGTGAATGGCCCATAGTAAGTGCTTATTAAATGCTGCCTGCCTGACTAAAAGTTATAAGGAATAATAAGCATATTTGTAAAACACACTGAAAATACATAAAAATTATATGAGAAAATCCTTTTCCCAACGACCTCTCAATCAAAGAAGAGACTAAAAAGATAAAATCTGTCTACTCATAGAAATATATCCTTTCAGAACTGCAAAGGATGATGAAATGAACATTTCCTAATTCTATTTTATGTTAAAATCTCTAAATAAAAGTTCAGTCGTGAATATATGTGGAAGTTTTCCTAATTTATCCATTCCGAGGAACCATACTTCCTATTATAACTTAGCATATTCCTTAAAACCTAAGCAGAGCAAAGCTCAATGAACAACGGTCTGAAGGCTCTATTTTGTATGGCATACTTACTGGATGTCTGAGGGTACAGAGTTCATACAAAATGCATCCCAAGGACCATATGTCACTGAAACATGAAAAGATTAAAGTTACCAATCGACCATTTAAATTAAGTTTATTCAAATACAAAAAAAATTTTAATCCATCTTTAAGATGGACAGATATTACACTACTAAGGTAATTTACTTTTTAAAAAAATTTATTTTATTTTTAATTTATGGAATAAAATAATCATTTCCATAATATAGTATAATTTTTAAAAAGATACTGCACATGAAATTTAAATTTGAGTATTTATTAACTGGTGTCTTCTGAAAACCCATACTGACTCATACTTAGCCTCAGCATGGCTGCTATCAAGAGGGCCTTATTCAGGTGTCATTTGGGTGATATTTATCCTACAGAGGAACATTTGAGAAATCTTAGATTTAAAGAATCTCAAAAGTTGGAAGATATCTTTATGTTCACCTAGTTCCACACAAAGAAAGAGCCTTTCCTATAACATCCAAGAGAGGTAATCAAATATATGTAAGAGTAGGAAGCTCACTAATTTTTTTAAGTAGACTACTCTACTGCCCAAAAGCTCTAATTTTTAGGAAATTCCCATACTGAGCTTATATATATGTCCCTGTAACTTCCACTTGCTGTTCCTAGTTCTGTATGACCTTTATAATAACCCCAAAAAAGTCTGCTTTCTCTTGAAAACCTCCCTCAGGTCCCAAATCTTATCTTCTAAAAAAAAAAAGGGCTGAAAATCCCTAGTTCCATCAACCAATTTTTTATATACAGCGATTTCTAATTTTTTACCATATTGGTCCCTTTCTTCTAGAAGAGGGAATAAGTTCTATTTTTTTCTTTTTATAATTTTTAATTTTCTCTTCTCCCAGTCCCTCCCCACCCTTTAACAAGGCAAGACATTACAATGTTTATGGTTACAATTACATACCAATTACACATATGAAGTCATGTAAAACATATTTCCATATTAACCATGTTGCAAGAAAAAAAGCAAGAAAAATAAAGAAAGTGAAAAAATATATTTCAACCTATATTCAGAATGTGTAAGTTCTCTGTCTGGAGGTGGGCAGCATTTTTCAACATGAATCCTTTGGAATTGTCATGGGTCATTTTACTGAGCAGAATAGCTAAGTGTTTCACAGCTGATTGTCATTAGAGTATTGCTGTTACTATGTACCTATAATATTCTCCTGGTTCTGCTCACTTTACTTTGTATCAGTTCATATAAGTCTTCCTAGGTTTTTCTTGAACCATCTCCTTTGTCATTTCTTATAACAGTATCCTATCACAATCATATACCACAACTTCTTCAGCCATTCCCCAGTTGATGGGCATCCCCTCAGTTTCCAATTCCTTGTCACCACAAAAAGAGCTGCTATAAATATTTTCTGTACATATGAATCCTTTCCTTTTTCTTTTATCTCTCTGAGGTATAGATCTTGTCGTGGCTATAAAACTGTAGTCCTTTAGTCGTAGTTTCAAATTGTTCTCCAGAATGGTTGGATCAGTTCATAACTTCACCACAGTGCATTAATATCCCTATTTTTTCCATATCCTTTCCAACATTTGTTATTTTCCTTTTCTGTCATATTAGCCAACCTGACAGGTGTAAGGTGATACCTCAGAGTTTTTTTAAAATTGCATTTCCCTAATCAATAGTGATTTAGAGTATTTTTTCCATCATTGTTGATAGTTTTGATTTCTTCTGAAAACTGCCTGTTCATATCCTTTGATCATTTACCAACTGGGGAATCAATATCAGTCAGGGAATGGCTCTTATTCCTATAAATTGGGCTTAGTTCCCTACATATTTAAGAAATTAGACCTTTATTAGAGAGACTTGCTATAAATCTCCCCCATTTCTTGCACACATATACACACACACACACATTTTATACATATGCATATATGTATATATTGATAACTGCATTTCAGTAAAGTTGGTTTTCTCTGTAATACTAGTTATCCCTCCCACATTGTGACTTTTCCCATCGTGGTTTCAATATATTGCGGATCAACATAAGAAATTAAATGGCTCTTTTGGGAGAGTTTTGTGGAAGCTGCAAACAACACGCAAAGGCCAGCAGACAACACAGAGCCCATGACCAAATACTTAACTCAAATTTTATAACAAGATACTGTAAACACTCCATAACAGAAAAGAAAAAATCCAGACCTCCTCTGGTACGAAGGGAGAGCCAAAAAATTTTACTCAGATTTTCCTGATCCTGTGATGTGGAAGGGATAACTGTATTTACTTTCTTTGCAATAAAAAACACAGCTCTGAGGAGAAGTCCACAGGTTTCACCAGGCTGCCAAAAGGGTCCATGACACCAAAAAGGTGAAGAAGCCCTGGTCTAAAAAAGCTTTATTTTTTCATCAAAGGGATGAGTCCCATACCTTTTATTGTTATAAGGCATATTCTCCCAGATTTCCGGAGGCACATAATAAGGTGTTCCCACATATGTACAAGCAAATGCCATAGGCCTGAAGTAACAACAAGAGAAAGTTTTTCAGATTACTACTGAAGGGCAGATGCTTTGATCACTGAATCTACCAAAGAAGAGAACTACATACTTGGAGAGAAGTCGGGCAGATCCAAAATCCCCCAATTTTATGTGTCCATTTTGGGTGAGGAAGACATTCTGCATTACCAAAAGAAAGAGAAAATCAGATTATCTCTTTAACAAATACCCTCCTGTTCACCAGAAGACAAGAGTCTCCAACCGTTGCAGGAAGAGGATCTAATTTTCACTTCTCAGAGACCTTGAGTCCAGGAGTAGAGTACTGGTGTGTTAACAGTAACACCTCTGTGCAGAACAGGGAATTGGGAGTAACAGATGAATCTTGGCAAGGACGGTGGAGTTAGGCGGGTACAGGATGGTTGAGAGATGGGAATGTAGCAGTGTCACCCTGTTTAATATACTTATCAAGCAAGGTTTTCAGACAAGACAGACTTACCAGGTAAGGATTCAAGTTGGAGAAACCTGATACAAGAGATGCTAAAATTTCTTTAGGGTAAAATGGGAGAGTAACAGCAAGGTAAGGACAGGAAGTCTTTTCCAGCTCCGTGTTTTTGGTATTTTTAAAAACTAATTTCTTTAATTTAGCCATATTAGCCAATCTAACAGGCGTGACATGGTACCTCAGAGTTTTTTTTTAAATATTTATTTTCTAATCAATAGTGATTTAAAATATTTTTTCATAATTGTTGATAGTTTTAATTTCTTCTTCTGAAAACTGCCTGTTCATATCCTTTGATCATTTATCAATTGGAGAATGGCTCTTACTCTTATAAAGTAGGCTTAGTTCCCTAAATATTTGACCTCTTGGCCTCAGTTCTCCCACCTGTAAGATGAGGATAATACCACCTACCTCACAAAGTGGTTGTAAAGTGCTGTGCAAACCTCAAAGTTCTATATAAATGCTAGCTACTACTCCGAGTCAGTGACAAGCAATCTGATATTTAAAACTCCGGATTGCCTTCACTTTTAGGTCAAATTCCTCCTGTCACTGTTTTAACACTCCTATTTTCATTTTCTTACACAGGGTATTTAGGTGGCACAGTGGATAGAGGGCCAGCCCTGGAGTCCAGAAGACTTATTTTTGTGAGTTCAAATGTGGCCTCAGATACTTACTAGCTGTGTGACCCTGGGCAAGTCACGTAACCTTGTCTGCCTCAGTTTCCTCATCTGTAAAATGAAATGGAGGAGGAAATGGCAAGCCACTCCAGTATCTTTGCCAAGAAAGCCCCAAATGGGGTCATAACAACAAACCCAGCTAATATGCATCCGAACTGAGATTTAACTCGAAGTCCAGTCCTCTTTCCTTTATATCCCAGGTTTCTCCTCCACAGCACTGGTGCTGTAGGAAACAGATGAACTGACGAGAGGCTAGTGACACCAGGATATTTGCTCAGGTATTTAGGGGATCCAAAAAGAAGCAAGGTGACTGGTTTTTCTTAAGAACAGACACAAGGCAAATAAGAGTAGAGCCTGTCCAGGAACAAACCAGTTGAGGTTAGACAGAACAGTTTAGATGTGTTTGAGGCTGGGTCTTTCTCCCCCATCAATGATTACAGATAACAAGCAGTGGGGGCAGGGAGACGGGGCATGAAGTGGATGAAGAAGTGAAAATGAAAGCTATGGTCAAAGCTGCCTTAGGGATACCTGCCTGAACTTCATTAGCTCAGCTTTCTCCTGGTTTCCTATTCCTCTGGAAGGTGTGTCCACGGCAACAGCAAGTGTGGAATGGTTTGTTTCTAAAACATCAGATAAAGGGGGCTATAGCAATAAAACACACAATATGAAGTCAATCGGTCCTTAGGAGTAAATACTAGCTATTAGTCATTTTCCTCAGAAGCAGAATAGGGCAGTGGAAAAAGTGTGGGTCGAGGAGTCAGAACACCTGGATTCTAACTATTGTCGTTAGACTGTGAGCTCCCTGAGGGCAGAGACTGTCTTTCATCATTCTTTGTATCCCCAGCAGTCAGAAGAGTGCCTAGCACATAGTAGGCACTTAATGAATCTTTATTGACTGAGTAGTTCTGGCTGTGTGTGCTATTTGGTAGCTGTGTGATATGGAACCAGTCACATAATCTGTGACCTGCAGTTTCCTCTTCTATAAAAAGGAAATGTTAATTCCTGTCCTGCTGACCTCAAAAGGCTATTGTGAGGGGCAAATGCCATACTTTATGTGAAAGCATACTGTCACACACTATTATTGTTGCTATTTGATGAGAAGGGGTTAATTGGGCAGGAGAGCAATGCACACCTGAAATGGGAATAGGAGGTCATCATCGAGATGGGAAAAGTTTGCAGGAAGGAAAGGCTGAAAAGGAGAGGACCAAGGAATTGGCTCAATTTCCTTCCTTCCTTTCTTCCTCTCTCCTTCCTTCATTCCCTCTTTCCTCTCTTCCCTCCTTTCTTCTTCCTCCCTTCCCTTCCTTCTCCTTGTTCTTCCCTCCTTTTCTTCCTTCTATCCCTCCCTTCTATCTCTCCCTTCTTTTCTTCCTCTTTCCTTCCTTTTCTTCCTTTTCCTTTTTCCTTCCTTTCTCCCTTTCATTCCTTCCCTTTATTCTTCCCTTTTCTTCCTTCTATCCTTCCCTCTCTCCTCTCCTTCCTTTCTTCTATTTCTTTCCCTTTTCCTTTTTTCCTTCCTTTCTCTTTCCTTCCTTCCCTCTTTTTCTTCCTTCCATCCCTCCCTCCCTCCTTTTCTTTCCATCTCTCCCTTCTTTCCTTCCTGTCTTCTTCCTTCCCTCTCTTCCATCTTTCCCTCCCTCCTTTCTTCCTTCCTTCTTTCAACAACTGGTCTCCCTATCTTGCCCAGGCTGGGAGTATAGGGGCCACTCACAGTCCTGATCTCATTCCAATCAGCACAGGAACTTTGGACTGCTCCATTTCCGATCTATGGCTGTTTACTCCTGTTAGCTAGCCTAGTGGTCTCTCAGCTCCCCAGGGTTCACTACATTAATGCCAAACTTAGTGTTAAGTCCACTACAGCTCAAAACTCCTGAGCTCTAAAGATCCGCCTGCCTCAGCCTCCCTTACAGCTGAGAACACAGGCATGCACCATAGGCTCAGCTCAACTTACTCTCAATAGGGCAAGCTCAAGAAGGTGTACATTGAAGCATTTTTGTCACATAGCTTGTTGCTGCTCAGTTGTGTCCAACTCTTCGTGACCCCATTTGTTTTTTATTTTTATTTTTTGTCAGACATACTGTAGTGGATTGCCATTTCCTTCTCCATCTAATTTTACAGATGAGGAAACTGAGGCAAATAAGGTCAAGTGATTTGCCTAGGGTCACACAGCTAGTCAATATCCGAGGCCAGATTTGAATTCAGGTCTTCCTGACCCCAGGCTCGGCACTCTGTCCACTGTGCCACCTAACTACACAAAGGTAAGTATCTCTGCTTCCTTTGTTCTACACAGGTGACAAAGTGAATAACGTGGCTTTACTCCCAAGGTGTGCATTTAAGTGATGTACCACTGTATCCAGAATGTAACTAAATAATGATTGTTCTGGTCTATTATTATAAACATTGGCATTTTCCTATGCTTACATGCCCTCAAGGCATGCACTAAGGTTCAGAGAACTGTTTGCCCTTACCCTAAGTAGATTCAGACTGCTTTTCTTATTAATTCATGGCCTTCCTTAATGTTCTTATAAGTAATAGCTATCTTGGACTATTACATGAAGAGACTCCCTCTTTAAACTTGCTACTTTTGATTTGCTATGAGCTAGAAAAACATAATCAACCTTGATAACACTACACATAAAATAAGAGTTTACAGGCTCTAAGCAAGCCCTCATCTACAGAGCAGAACATAAGGGCTTTATGTTTAGAATGGCTGAGGTTGCTGGAAGACTAATGTCCAGGTGAGACATTTCTTTGTCTTAGTTGAGAGAATACTACCTATTGCCCTACCCACCTCACAATGATGTTTTGAGAATAAATTGAGCTGGGAGACAGGAAAGCACTTCGGAAAGTTAAGAGTAGTACCCAAATACAAGGAAATGTTATTGTTTTAATGAGTGACATGCTCAACTAAAATGTTTAATCCAAGTTCATCTATAAGCAGGCAGATATTTGTAAAAATAAATGACATCATGTCCACAGGCTGCCCAAAGAGACTAACATTTCCAGGTAGGAAAAAATATTAAAAAATTGTTTTAGTTAAAAAAAAAATTCACTCACTTTGGACTTGATATCTCTATGTAACACCCTTTTTTTGTGAATGTGATTCACTCCCAGGCACATCTGTGTAAACCAGTGAAGTATCTGTGAGGAAAAGATATTTAAAATCCAGTTCACGGAGTACCTTTTATTTAAGGAATTTTTTTAAAATCCACTTATGTTGTATTTTCAGATCTTGAGCATATTAAAACACTATCAAAGCATAAATATGATAATAGGCATGATGATGTAGAGAACTGACTTCAGAGACAGAAATATACGGCTTCCAGACCCACACACCAGCTGTAACCTCTCACTGTCCCTGAGCAATCAAAGAGAGCTATGAGGGCAGAACAGGTACTGATCTCCATCGATGAGGGAATTTCTCCGCCAACGAAATCAGAGAACCAGACAGCATCATCATCTTCATCTTCATTACCATCATTTCATCATCATTACTGTCATATCATCATCATCATCATCATCATCATCATCATCATCTCACCATCATCACCATAATCATTATATCACCATCATCATCTCATCACCATCATCTCACCATCACCATCATTATCATCCTCATCACCACCACCACCACCATCATCAACATCGGATCACGGATCTAGATGCTAGAAGGAATCTAGTCCAACTCTTCATTTTGCAGAAAAGGAAACTGATGCCCAAGGAGGTTAAGAGACTCGCCCAAGGTCACACAGGTAATGTCAGAAGCAAGATCTGAACACAAGTCTCATGTCTACAGAGTTAATGCTTTTTTCCTCACTATGCCACAATGCTTTGTCATCACCATATGTCAGAAAACTAAACAGTCCATCCATTAAAATATTCAGACATGGAATAAAAGAGACAAACTCATATATGATTATTTTACATGTGATGACAATCACTATTTCATTTCAAGCCTTTTTTTTTCATTCAACCAAATCCAAGTAGTTTTGAGATATGTATTTGGTATTAGCATTCACATAAATATAAACCATACTTTTATAATATGAAATGCACAGCACAAATGTGATAAATACAATTTCATTGCTATTTTGGGAGTTTAATGATCATTTCCATCACCGATTTCTTGAGGTTAGCATTTTTTCATATTATGACGATTTATATTATAAAACCTCCTACATTATAGTGCTCTAACATACCATATGACAAATATAAGCTGAATTTAACTGATTTCCTTTTTTATTCTTTTGAGTTTCATTTATCAAAAGTCACTGAATACAGCCATCATAGGATCTACACTACTAATATGACATTTTCCTAAAAAAGAAGTGTTCTTTATCACTACTCACAGTAATGAAAAGCATTATCAACTAATCAAATTAAGCCCTGTGTACCAAAATACAATTTTCTAGGCTGTTTTTTAAATAAAAGAATTAAGTATACACTTTTCTATAAGTAGTATAAGCAAAAGGACAATAAGTACTAATTGTTAAGAACACTTGCCCACTGTCAAATTCAAAGTTAAGTGTACTGAATAGTAGGGTTTATAAAATGAGCAAGAGAAGACTGGAAATGGATACCACCATACACCAAAATGTCTGGCCTCCTGTTTCACTTAGCCAGCAAAACAACATAAAAATATGTTTACTTTTTAAAATGTCAGTAAAACACAAAACAAGGGATGTTTTTAAAACTATATGTGACATATGCTAGTTATAATTCTGAAACAATGCTAATGTCTATATCAGGTTTGTCAAATTTATATAAATTCTACTTGCTAATATTTTCTGAAAAAAAATGTATATATAAATGAGTCCTTCTAAAATGGTTTCAGTCCATCCACTAATGCTACTTCACTTTTAACATTCCAAATTTTACAAATTTTTATGAAAAGGAGAAGGCATCATGGATAGTTTAGTGGACAGGACACTGGACTTGAAGTCAGGAAGACCTGAGTTCAAATCCTGCCTCATATTTACTGGCTGTGTGAGCATGGGCAGGTCAATTAATCGCTCTCAGCCTCAGTTTCCTCAACTGTAAAATGAGGGTGTTGGACTAGATGATCTCTGAAGTCCCTTCCAGCTCTAAATATATTGTCCTATGAAAATTTGATTAATTCAAATCAATCTAAGCATTTATTAAGTACCTACTATGTGTAAGACACTGTGGTAGATGTTGGTACACAAAGAACACAAGATATACATCCTGCTGCTGTCAGGGAGCTTGCATCTTATCAGAGTGAAAACATAGTATACAGAGAGGCCAAGTTAAGTGCAAAAGAGATGTTTAAGAAAGCAGATCTCTTACCATATCCTCAGGGAATAATTTTCCTCTTTGATGTTTAATCTTTTGCATGAGATCACCTTCATCACAATATTCCATCACTATATACAGGTGTCCATCAGCTTGGAAAAATTTTAAATTTGTTAGTTAATTATTCTATAAACAATATCAGAAATGTGGACACTACTATGCAAGAACAAAATAAATGAATATTTACCTTCAAATGACTCCTTAAAGGCAACAATATTGGGATGCTTCATTTTAGCCAACAGAACGGCTTCCTTCCTAGAGTTCTTTACATCAGAAAGAGACTGGAAAAAACGGTTTTAAAATTTTAAGTTTTAAAATTTTAAATTCTATGAATACATTCACAAAATGTTCAATAATGATAATCCACAGTTATAAAGTACAACAACTGTGTTAAGGTAGGTTATCCTCTTTTATCTGATAAGGAAATTGAGGCAGAGGGGGATATAATGACTCATTATAGTTAGTAAATATCATTGTAAGGATTGGAAACCCAGGTCTCTCAACACCATAGTCAATGCTCTTTCTCCTAGGACACTGCTCATATAATGCATTTATATTCTTTAACTAGTTTAGAAACACAAGGCTAATTTAAGTGATTTTACACAAATCCACTCATTTGGTCTCCTATGAATTGAACATAGTAAGTGCTCAGTGACCTGCATAATAAAATTACAATTCACATCTATATTGTGTTTCATGATATAAAAAGCCCTTTCCTCACAAAAGCACCATGAGGCAGGCTGTACAAATATTTTTATCCCCATTTTACAGGTGAGGGCACAGGCTCAGATGAAATGATTTGCCCATGGTCACGTACCTAGGAAGGGTGAACTTAAAGGGGTCATAGGTCACAGACCTAGAGTGGGAAGAGACAAGTATAAACCCTTCATTTTTCAGATGAGACCCTGAGGCCCAGGGAGGTCACTGCTAAGTAAGCACAAAAGGTAGGATTGGAGCCCAGGTTCTCCGACTCCAGAACCAATACTCTTGTTGCTATACTACGCTGCCTGATACTCTGACTCCAAGTCTGGGAGTAAATTGTGTGCTTTAGATATGATTCACCCATCACACTATACCTCTGGGGACCTCTCTTCAATAGCCACCACTGTGTTTTCAGAAAAACATAAAGCAATTTTGAACACAACATAATTAGGAAAGGAAATAATGATAATGATAATGATAATAATAATAATATAATGATTGGCTTTTTACACCAGGACAAATTTAAGTTTGAGATGTAAATCCTGGAAAAGTTTTTCCTAAACTGTGATTAGCAAAACTTGCTGTTTGAGGTAAAAGCTCATAGGATTTTATTTTGAGTCGTCTGATGGGTCATAATCCATCGATAATCAATAATCCACCATCTGAGAGAAATGCCACAAGCTACTCAGAGAAGGTGATACTGGTGGGAAGTCAGCATTGGGAAAAGCTGAGAGGACAATCTTAGCCTCAGTCTATGATGGGATCCTCCTGGCTCAGTTTCCCCATTATGTTCCTTTGAAAAGGAATGTTACCCACCTGGCTATTCCTGAGTCTGGCTATGAGGTGGATTTGACGCTGCATGGGTGGAAAACTGAATTATCTGAATCCAAACAGAGCTAAGGATGTTCTATCCTCTCAAAGTTGGGCCCTAAATCTAGTCCCTGCTTTATATCTGGGCTCTGCAGTTTTTTTCTGTCAGATTTGTGTCTTCCAGACTATGGGCCACTCACCTACAGTTAGTAGCAAACATCGAGTACCAGCCAATGTTCCCACATCATTCCCTGGATGCAGCCTGTGCTTGCTTCCAGTCAACCTCCTCTTTGGGACCCCCTCAAGGCAGGGACAGCTCTATGCCCCTTGCCAGCAGGAAGCAGGTTCGGAAGCTGAGACCTTCACCCCTTACTCTAAAAGAATTAGGGTCCCATTTGTTTGAGGGGGGAATGATGAGGATGGGATCTAGACCCCAAAAAGGAAAAACCCTGGATTTTTTCACATGGCCAAGCCTGAGGCTATAATCCCAGCAACTGGCCTTTTATTGTGGCTACACCCAATCTCCCCTCCATTGTCTTGCCTCTCTATGGCCCCAGGCCACTTCCCACCCTTGGTAATTCTATTACCTCATGGACTACTTGGTCACTCCTAGATCCCCCCCAAAGTCTTTCTGTATATAAGGTCCATCTTGTCTCCATTAAGATGCTGGGATTCTTATAATCTAACCACTGCTCAGATTCTTAAAATCTAGCCACTGCTTACCAACGTTCAGACTCCTTAAGAGTCTGCCTGATATGGCAGATGTTCTAATAAACTTTGTCTTTGGCTGGAAAAAAAAAAGCCTAAAACAACACTAAGACATTTGAGACAGCCTATATTATCTCATCTGACCCTCACAACAACCCTGGGAAGATAAGTGCTATTATTCCCCATTTTACAGATGACAAAACTCAGGCTCATGAAGGTTAAGTGACTTGCCCATGGTCACAAAGCTGAAAAGTATCTGAGTCGCTGAGAAAGAATTTGGGCTTCTGATTCTAAGCCTCTTACTCTATCCACTGTGCCACCCAGGTACTATAAGTATATGCCAAAATACATATGCATACGTGTGTACATATATAGCCATGTATAGAAATGCATTCCAATAAGCAACATAAATGATTTTAGGATTCCATATTTTGTGTTTTACACATTGCTGGTCTTTTTCTTTGATGTAGATAATACATCAAAGCTGGACACTACAGAGTGCTGTAGACAACATATCAAAAAGGACACATGCAGAAACCACGTACAGAAGAAAACATGTTCAAAAAAAATTTTTTCCCATAAAGTACTCTAATATCTTTTTAGGAGTGAGATGTAAAACCTATAGTTTTATCTTGCCATTATGAATCTGGCAATGACTGCATAGTGGCATTTATAACAAGGTTAAAGTAGAAATTTCTTGATATTCTAAATAGCCTTATGAATTCCAATAAAATATATCATTAGATAAATATTTTAAATCCAAGTAGAGTAAAACACCATTATAAAATTCTTCCCATATCCCCTAATTCCTTTATGCTATGGGTCAAACTGTGCCACCATGTTATATCAGGACAAAGTCTATAGAGAGCAGCTAAGTTCTCTCCCTGCCTACCCATTCCAAGATCACAACAGGGTGATGCTATAAGGCAGCACGTGTCTTGGGTAACCTCTTTTTTTGGGGGGGTGACTTCTTGCAGCAAACTTTTGAAAGGTCAGGACACAGGACAGGCAGCACCAAAAAATGGTCATCTGTATCACTGCAGGGAACACCTACATTGATGAGATCACAGATCTAATGGAGTACTAGATTATTTTCACATGTTGTTTCCAGGAATCATTACACTTGAAAACTACCAAAACTTTCACAAATATCCAGGTAAAGAATTTAGGAATTCTTGTGAATTATCCTTATTTATGTCCATAACCATTCAATGTTGGACAATTTTTCTTTTCATTTGTTACTAGCACACTGTGCCTGGTCCAGTTCAAAGGAGCTTTTTTCACTAATAAGGCCCCAGAAATAGTTATGGAACATATCAAAATGTAGGGGCAGCTAGGTGGTGAAGTGGATAGAGGGCCAGCCTAGAGTCAGGAAGACCCAAGTTCAAATCTGGCTTCAGACACTTACTAGCTGTGTGACCCTGAACAAGGTACTTAATTCTGTTTGCCTCAATTTCCTCATCCATGAAATGAGCTGGAGAAGGAAATGGCAAATCCTCCAGTATCTTTGCCAAGAAAACCCCAAAAAGGGTCACAAAAAGTCAGATACAACTGAAATGATTGAACAACAACAGTATCAAAATGTAAGTAAAGGGGAAGGGAACCTCCCTTTGGGGACTGGGCCTGTTCAAATGAGAATTTTTACTCAAATGCCTACTGGGTGAGAGGCCTGAGATTTACTCTGTAAAGCATCACAATGCCTTTGGCATGCAACACAAATGCTATGTGAAATTTGAGGAATTTAGGATCATACATTTAGGGCTAAATGAAACCTCTGAGGTCATTAAGGCTGATATCTTCATTTTATTTCTTGTTCAGTTGTGTCTGACTCTTCATGATCCCATTTGGGGGTTTCCTGACAGAGATACTAGAGTGGTTTGCCATTTCCTTCTCCAGCTCATTTTACAGATGAGGAAACTGAGGCAAACTCTTCAGTGACCTGCCCAGGGTCACACAGCTAGTAGGTGTCTATGATTGGATCTGAAATCAGGAAGATGAATCTTCCTCGTTCCAGGCTTGGCCCTCCATCCATTGGGCCACCTTAGTTGCCCATCTTTATTTGAAAGCTAAGGAAAATGAGGACCAGGCCAGTTAAAATTACTTTGTAAAAGTCACACAGCTAGTAAGTAGAAATGGAATTGGAAGCTGATCCCTCTGGCTCCCAGTGTGTGGGATTTTTCACTATGCCTCAATTATTCTGCTTATCCTTTGACCAAAGTCAGGCTTTATGCGAAAAGAGGTCTGTGCTAAAAGCCCATCTTTGCCTCAGTACAAGAAAGAGTTGCATCCTATTTTCCAGATAAAAACAAGTTTTAAAAAGAGGGAAAGAGAAGAAAATGAAGCCACTTGAATTCAGCGAGATCAAATCATCTACGTCTCTTTGGGGTCACTATGATTTTTCTCCATCTCAGATAATACAATCCTGTTTTCTTCTTTCTCATAAATCATCAACCTTAAGAACTGAATTGGGACTTTCTGATTATCAAATCAAGCCCCTTCTATAAAATCAGAAAACTTTGGTCTACTGAGGGGAAAGTGTCTTCCCTAAGGTCAAAGAGACTTCCCCAAGGTCAAAGAAAAGGGCAGGAGCTGAGGAACCCATCCCCACGGCTCCTGATTTCAGTCCAGTGCCTTCTCTTCACTAAGGTACATCATGCTGCCTCCCTTAGGCTTTCTCTGTCTGACCAGGCACCACTTGCATAGGTATATTAATCCTACCCTTAACTTTTCAACATAATGATGAGGATAGTGACAGCAAGTCACATTTATATAGTACAAAATCTGGTTCTCAAAGCACTTTCACTATTGTCAGGGAATTCTTGGGTTCTGATCATTTTTGTTTCCTGCTATGGCTGAAATTTCATTTGGTCACAAGTGGACATACTGAGCAAACCAACAGTGATGGTCTCTTCATTGGTGGTGCAAAGGCGACATTGTAACCATCTACATCAAGGATGATGACTCATCATTTTAAAGAAACAGCATACAGAAACCATTTTTTAACCTTGACGCTCATCCTGGGTCTATACATATAAATCTGATTCAACATAAGCCTAGGGATTATCTGATGATACAGTGAGAGTTAATTTCTGAAATAGTTACCTTGGGAAGCCTTATTTCCTTCATCGCATACTTCTGGTTGCTGCTTTCTTGTTGAACTAAAAGAGCCCGGCCGAAGGAGCCCTCCCCAATCACCTTCAGTACTGTGTAGTTATCCATAATGAAGCCTCAGTTGATGTTGGTGAAGGTTATCTTTCATAAGTTAGTCTTCCAAATCCTACAGACTACATTAAAAAACAAAAACAAAAATAAAACATAAGAACCAGCAGCACTCAGGTTAATTTTTTTTTTAAAGAAACAAATAATGGGAAACTATGATCCCTCTTGGGCCGCCAGGTGGTACAGCGGATAAACTGACAGGCCTAGAGTCAAGAAGATCTGAGTTCAAATATGACCTCACACTTCACTGAACCCTGTTTGCCTCAGTTTCCTCATACATAAAATGAGCTGAAGAAGAAAACAGCAAACCTCTCCAGTATCTTTGCCAAGAAAACCCCAAATGGGGTCACAAACAGTCAGATACAGCTGAATAGCAGCAACATGATCCCTTTTATAAGGGACCTTGAATTGTCTGGAAGAAAAATGCTACAGAAACTTTAAATATAACAGGAAAAAAAAGTTGTAAAATGCAAATCACTGTTCTTCGAGGCTAAGGTTGCTGAATTTTTTAATTTTTTATTTCATGTGATCTATTTTCTATTAGAATTTAGGGATGCTGCTAGGTACTGGCTCTATGATTTCAATGGTATAAGGAGTTCCCAGTCCCAATCCAACAAGCATTTATTAAGTACCTACTAGATGCCTGGAATATGCAAATTGAAAAGCAGCTCTTGTCCTTTTGAGGATCTTCCAATCTACTGGAGAAAAACAATGTATAAACAGGTCAGGTATATACACATGCTAATTTGAGGAAGGAAAGAGTATGAACAAGAAGGAGATCAGGAATGCCTCCCCTCAGGAAGTGGAACATAAACTGAGCCCACAAGACTCTAACAGGCTGAGATGAGGAGGAGAGGGGGCAATTCAGGCACTGGTATACAAACGAACAGACACGGGAAATAGAAATCCAAGTTCAGGAATAGCAAATAGAGTCATTTGGCTAAAACATAGGATGTACAAAGGGAAGTAATGTGCACTAAACCTAGAGAAATTAGCTGGGAATATATACATGTGTATATATATGTGTGTGTATGCATGTGTATATATATATATATATATATACACACACACACACACACACACATATATATATATATATATATTTTTTTTAATTAAGGACCAATCAGCCAACCAGTAGAACTTTCCTATGTAAAATCTTTTTTAAAAGATTCCATCCCAAAGGGTTTCATCTTTGATTTTGTAAAGTTTAGGCAAATGAAGGAATAAACAAGCTATTTTAAATTCTGTTCTGAGGTCTCCCTCATTCTTAGATATATATATATATATATATATATATATATATATATATATATATATATTTTAAATTCATATCCTTTTTTTTCTTTGCCATCATTTCTTCTGCGGCAAACTTATCAATGAACAACGATCACCGGCGACATGCTGGCTGATAACCTTTGATTTTTGGTGGGTAGTCATCACATTAAGATTGCTAACTTGTTTAGGTTTTCCAGGGGTAAGCAGCAATAGATCTAATTCTAGGAAATAGTAATAGTCAGAAGGAAATGTCCATTACTGTCTCTCCAATGTTCACCTCGAGCTTTCAACTGGAACACTCTCAACCCTTAGAATGAGGACATATGCAACTCACAATCACAGAATCTAGGCTTGGAAAGGCTTTCAAGTCATGAGTCCAACATCACAGTAAAGGAAGCCCGGCTCCCAAGGCGGCTGGATTTTAACATCCCCAGTGACACCTTCAGCCCCTCACCAGGACTGTCTTTAGGAATCAAGTGGTTCGAAATTTCTTTATTCTGACTGGGTGAATATTTGCTCCCCCTGTAACTTCTCCCAATATTTGCTAATTCTCCCCAGTGAGAATTAGGCAGAATAAATGTAATCCCTCTTCCACAAGGCAGTCCTTCAAATATCTGAAGACACTTACAATGCACTTAAGGCTAAATGACCCACTCCCTCCTCAGTCTTTAAATCTTTTCTCTTATCATGGAGCTTTGTATTTTTAGAAGGAAAAAACCCAACTCTTCCCATTCTACAAAATGCTCTCACCACCCAGGTAAATTTAAAATTGCAAAAGCAAATAAACACCTGCAAAGATGGAGAAGGGTTAGGATCCGCTTGTGTGCATGGAATGCTGTACCTTACCTCTCAAAGCGGGGCTATATAGTTGTTTGAGGTGACCACCTTGAACGCTCAAGGCTGTTTAGGAAAACTTACGCATCGGTATCCTACCCTTCTGTTTTGGGGGACCACCCCCAATACACCAAGTACTACTTTCTTTTAAAAAACCAAAACCAAAACTCTGGGGTTTCACTTCGGCTGTGCATATAGACACTGAGGCCGAGTCTAGAAGGGCGCATAGGTGCGGAGGATCAGGGTGGGAGTGGACTCACCCGACCCTAGCAGGGAGTGCAAGGAGTAGGGGGTGGGGCAGGGCTGGACGGCTGGAGAGCGGCTGCACAGCAACCCCGGACCTGGTGGGGGAGGTTGGCTGCATCGACCTGCCCAGCCAGGAAGTGCAGGACACGAGCTTCCAGCCCTTTGTTTCCCTAGGGAGCTCCAGGGGCCCTAGTCCGTTCTGGCTCAGCTCTCCCTCCCCACTGTCCCTGGGAAGTAGTCATTATATACCCTGATGCATCTGCAGCCCCCGAGCTTTCCCCCAAGCCGGCAACCCGGCAGCCCCTGGCAGCGCTCACGCAGAACCTTCCCCAGCTGCGGGACTCCTCCAGGTCTGCCAACAGGGCGCGGAGGCGGGAACATAGGCACCCCGGTGAATAATACAGGCAGGATTCTAGGGCGGCCGGGCCCTTGACGAATTGGCTTTCTGGTTCTTGGGTCAAAGACAAAGAGACCGAAAAAAGCGGGAGGGTAGTTGTCTTTGAATTAGAAAGACTACAGAACTCGGTGCTGGTGTTTTGTTTAAAGGAATTACTTGGGGCAGCTAGGTGGTGCAGTGGATAGAGCACCAGCCCTGAAGTCAGGAGGACCTGAGTTCAAACTCGACCTTAGACCAAACGATTGATACTTACTAGCTGTGTGACCCTGGTCAAGTCACTTAACCCCAATTGCCTAAAAGAAGAAATTACTTTGTGTTGCAGCTCAGAAATACCAAATACCTTAATATACCTAGTGTGTTCCTAATAACAGCTGAAGTTTTACAGTAGCATTGCTGTTGAATGTTTTAATTGTTTATTACCAGTAAAAAAATACTTCATGCAGTAGGAACGATCAGAACCCCTGTTCAATTAGATGAGTGGATCAGGCAATAAATATTTGTTTAGTTCCTACTATGTGCCAAGCACTGTGCTGTGAGCTGGGGATATAAAGAAAGACAAAAGACAGTCCCTGCCCTCAAGGAGCTCACAGCACTGAGGAGACAACATGCAAACATCTAGGTACAAACGAGTTCTTTACAAGATAATTAATATGAAATTACAGAAAATGGACTCCAGTAGAGTTAATCCTATAGTTAAATGTCACCCCTCCACGCTCAGGTGAGAAACCAAACTATAGTGGGTGAAAATTTTTTTCCATTGAGTCCCGGCAGATCATAGAGGAATTCTGCAATGATCTCTGTCTGCAGTAACACTGAGCAGTAGCCCACAGGGCAATCTGGCCTCTGTCCCACATAGGACAAGCTGACTAGTTCAAAAATAGGGTAGTGAATAAAAAGGCAGCTGTGGTGGGTGTGATCCAAGGCTGAGGTTTGGCAGGGCAAAATCTTTCACAGGATTCAAGAGAAGAAGGTAATGTAGAATTGACCTGGGCCACCAGTTTCACTTTAGTTATCTATTTTATCTTTTGTAATTGCTTCTCTCCCTTGTTTGATGAAGAATATATCTTTTTGCTCATCTGCAAAAGGTATATGATCTGCTTTTTAATGATTATGATCTTTAATAATAGGATACTGTATAGGATGTATAGTGGGGATATGGTATGGAATTAAGGTACTGACCTCATTTCTACCTGAAAGCCTCCCAGTTTTCCCAACACTGACACTCCCCACTCAGTTCAGGCTCTCATCACCTCATACTTGGACTATTGCAATAGCCTGCCACAAGTCTCTCCCCACTCCAATCTATCATCCACTCAGCTCAGTGGTCAGAGGTCTGACCATCACCTTCTTCACTCAACTCTAGTGACTCTCTGTCGTGTCCAGGATCAAATTTGACACTGGCATTCTTGATGTTCATCGGACAAGATACTCCATCTCCCAACTCGTTTTCACTGGCCATCCCCCATGCATGGAATGTTCTCTCTCATCTCTACCTCTTGGCTTTGTGTGGGACAAGTGAAAGTTTCTCATGTGAAATGTAAGCTATGCTCCAAAATGTAGTGAGGCTTCAGCATGAGCTAGGCCTAAGTTTCACTTTCGTTTTTGGGGAATGGGGGCTGTGCACCAGCTGCCCGCCCCCTCCCTTGTTTTGTAACCACCCCTTCTGTTGTTTTGTGCCTTAACTTTACCATATAAGGCAATCCTCTAGCTCCCAAGCTAGTTTTGAGTAAAATGTATCTCTTGGGTTCTAAATATAGACTGTGAGGTCTCTTGCCTCAGCCAATGAGGATAAAGAGAGTGAGACAAACAAGTGGGGAGGGGGGCTTTTTGGAGTGGTTTGCCTAAGACTATATAACTGCTTGCTGCTGTTTGTGCCAGGCCTCACTACTCTAGTCTGCTGTGGGTAGGTGATGTCCAACTCTCTCTCTCTCTCTCTCTCTCTCTCTCTCTCTCTCTCTCTCTCTCTCTCCCTCTCTCTCTCTCTCTCTCTCCCTCTCTCTCTCTTTCTTTCTCTCTCTCTCTCTCTCTCTCTCTCTCTCTCTCTCTCTCTCTCTCTCTCTCTCTCTTCTCTCTCTCTCTCTCTTGACTTGCTAGAATAAAACCTTCTGTTTTCTACCTGGAGATACCTCTGAGTTTTTATTTGGGTAAGTGGTCTCAATCCCACTCAGCTTCCTTCAAGTCCCAGCAAAAGTCCCACCTTCCACAGAAAGCTTTTCCCTACCTCTTAATTACAATGCCTTTCCTCTGTTGATTATCTATTTATTTCTGAATATAGTTTGTTCATAGTAATTTACGTGTTGTCTCCCTTAGATTGTGAGGTCTTCTCCTCAAGGGCAGGGACCATCTTTTGCCCTTCTTTGTATCCTTAGCATTTAGCATAGTGCCTGGTACGTAGGCACTTAATGTTTCTTGACTAACTTGACTGATATGGTATTGAGTAATATGTATATTTTAGCAGCCCCATTTGGAAGATGCCATAAGTCTCTTAGTTTAGTTTTTCCAGCAAATTATTCAATTTTTTGTTTTCCATTTTATCTTTGTTAGATTTGTGCAAAACTGAGAGATTAAAATATCTTGCTCCTATTACATTATTGTCTGTATCTTGTAATTCAGTTAATTTTTCCTTTATGAATTTTCATGCAAAGGCATTTGGAGTATATAACTTTAATATTGATATTGATTTGTTGTCTATGGTTCTTTTCAGTATAATGTAGATTCCTTATCTCCTTTTATGTTGCAAATGTTTGTTTTTGCTCTTGTCTAGTAGCAGGATGGGCAGCTGGATGGTTCAGTGGATTGAGTACTGGGCCTGGAGTCAGACATTTACTAGTTCTGTGACCCTGGGCAAGCTACTTAACCTCTATTTGCCTTAATTCACTGGAGAAGGAAATGGCAAACCATTCCAGTATCTTTGCCAAGAACACCCCAGGGACAATATGGTCTTTGGGATCATGGAGAGTTGGACATGACTGAACAATAGCATGATGACAACCTCTGCTTTTTTGTATTCAACTGATGCACAAACTTTATTCCAGTCTTTTATTTTTATTGTCTTTGTTTTTTCAGGTGTGTTTCTTGTAAGCAACTGGAATTTTGTTTTCTTATTGAATATCACTTTTTCCCTGTTTTATTGGATTATTTAATCTACTTATATTTAAAGTTACGAATTAGATGTATATTTCCCTCTATTTCTCTATTTTTTCCCCTGAATTAGGATGTTATTTTTCTTCCTTTGTAAATCTTGTACTTTGTCTCCAGTTATTTTGGCTTAATTTACTTTGAAACAACCCTATTCTTATAGTTTCTTTCCTCTCACCCTCAAACTCCCTCTCCCATTTTCTATCCCTTTCCCTAATTTTGGAATTTTGCTTAATTCCTTTTTCTTTCTTCCTTTTATCTAGTCATTTAATTCATCTCATTTTTTCTGTTAAAGAGAAACCTTCCTCTACTTCTTCCATTTGTTTTCATTTTCTGTGCCTTTTTCTAAAAAGGATTCCTCTCATTCTCTTCTCTATTTTAGACTTTTATTCTTAGATTCAAGTCCTCGTACTTGTTTTATTCCTACTTTTAAAAATTTCCCTATATTCCTTCTAAAACACCTATTTTTGTGTTCCTTCCTCCAAATTTTCTATATTACTGCCTTGTAGATCTTGCCCTCTCTTCTGTTGAGCCTCACTCTTAGAAGGATCACTTCTAAAAGATGAGAGGCTAGAATTATTGCCCCATTGTAGAAATTTTCTTATATCCCTGATTGTCCAGTTAATTACTAATCCCTGCTGACCCCACGATCATTTTTCTCCCTTTTTGCTATGAAGTCTCTTCCTTGAAACCATGCCTTTGCTCCCTTCCAGTTGTCAGTCACCTCCAGGAGCTTAGAGTCCCCTTCTCCTGATGCAGAATGCTGTTCATGGAGGAAGAAAACTGTCTCAGAAGTATTGGTCTTTCTAAATACTAAATTCCTGAAGATTGTATCCATGGTAAGGTCCCAGTATCCTATTGGAGGAGTTCTCCTCTATGGGACTGTTTTTTGGTGGTACCCCCACACACCAGTGAATTATGATTTCCTTCTTGCTTCTTTTTTGGCCCTTCTCTTTGTAAATTCACCCATTCTCCTGTAGGCCTTCTTCTGAGACTACAAGAGTTATTTTTTCCTTCACTGTTTGTCATTAACTTGATTAGGGTACAGTACACATTTTCCTCTATCTTCTTCCTCTCTTTTCTCCTTTCATGAGCCCTCCCATTCAGTAGTTTCATCTCTCCAAAAACCATTGATTCACCTCTAGGTGGGGTGTTTTGAGATTTAGTATATGTTTCAGGATTGTTCCTCCAACATTACTACTTCTAATTAAGTGCTGTTTTCATAATTATCTGTACTTTTAGAAAGAAATCTCTAATAGCCTGTTATTTTGTTGTTGTTAACCCTAGAAGTATCTCTACTTTTTTTTCTCTTTCTTTTCCTGGGGTAATTTATTTCATTATTTGTATTTTCATTCATAGCTATATTTGTTTACCTTTCTCATATTTCTTGTCTGGAGTGTTTGCAAGGCAAATAACCTGCTCATACCTGCTTTTCTTTGTAGGAATGTTTCAATGGCCTTTTTTTTTCAAATGTCTTTTTTTTCTTTCCCATTATTGGACTCAGATTTGCAAAGGTATCTATCTCATTGTGGGTTATATTTTGAGCTCCTTTGCTCTTTGGAACACATTATTCTATTCCTGCCCTATAGCTTTTAGTGGCTACAGAATAGCCTTGTTTTTTATATTTCGTCTCCTTTATATCTGAAAGTCTGTTGTAACTAGAATTCTTATGTTACATTATGTTTTAGAACTTGTAGCAGACCGTCCACACTCTTACCACCTCCTCCATCCCACCCCACCCCTGTCACCAACCAAACTTATAGATTCTTTTTTAGTAATGCTTTGCTTCTAGTGTTCAGAAGTTCTGGACAATTTTCTTGTATTATAGCATTCAGGTTGTTTTACTTATTGTCTTCTTCTAGGAGACCTATAATCTTTAAGTTGTCTGTGTCCTGTCTTTCAAGATCAATGTTTTTCCTGTAAAGAAATGTTTTCTTTGAATATTATTGCTTCTCTTTTTTCATATTTTCCTTCACTTCTGTGTACCTGCAGTCTCAATCAGTTGTTCTTTCATTTCTTTGATGAGACTTGCTACCATGGATTTTATTTTGCCAATTATTTCTGCTGGGCAGGCCATAAATTCTTATTTCTCCCTGGAACCATTTGTGAATATCCTGCTTTGGTTCCATGCTTTTGGGTATCCACAAGGTCTTTTTCCTTATTAGGGGTTGATTCATTTTCCTGTCTTGCAATATTTATTCAGAGGTGTTCAGACTCACCTAGATGTTCTGGGGGTCACCTTCCATTCTCTTATTATCTTCTCTGTTATGTTATGTGTTTGTGCTTAAGGTTTTAAGTGAGTTTTCTTCCTCCTAAGATCTTTGGCAATGCCTTTTTTCCCTTACGCTCTCCTAGCTCACTTTCTGACTTTTTCACCCTTGATGGTAAATACCATGAGGGTCCTCTATCTTGTTAGTTACTTGACCACATGACCTGGAAGCCTGGTCAAAAGTATCATATGCAGAAGAGCTAAGAAGATTAAAGACTGAGAAAAGGCTATCAGATTTCCCAATTAAGAGGCCACTGGTGGTTTTTGAGTTAATAATTTCAGTAAAGTAATGGGACCAAAAGACTATAAGTGGTAGAACAGTAAAGAGGTATAATATGAGTGGAAGCAATGAGTGGAAACAACTCTACCTTTATAGCGTTTTAGCAGTTTAAGGAAAAGCTATGGTAACAATTAGATTTATTGTACTGGACTGCAGAGAGCAGAATTAGTACCAGTAGAAATTATAGGGAGGCATATTTTAGACCATCCTAACAATTAGACTTATCCAAAAAAAAAGGGGAGGGAGGTGCTTGATGATAGTGAGATCTTTGTCACTAAAGTTAGCGAACCTAAATAACTACTTTTTGTAAAAAATCCCTCCAAGGTTACCTTCCATCTATTCTGCATGCACCTATTTATATATGTATGCTATATCCTCCTTTAAAATATAAGCTGCTTATATTTTAAGGGACAGGGGCTGTTTTTGCTTTTTCTTTTATCCCCAGTATTTAGTACTGTGCCTAGCACATTGTAGGAGCTAAAGAAATGTTATTTCAATGACCTGATTGACAAGATTCATTTGTAAGGTTGGATTAAATGACCTGTTAAGTCCTTGCCAGTTCTATGGCTGTAAATGCTAAAACTTTACATGGACAACTTACGTATCCAGAATACCTTATTCACCAATGTTAGGTCAAATAATGAGGCTTCACCTTAAGGCATTATTATACTTAGGAATCCCTACAGGTATTCTTAAAAGTAGAGAAAGCAAATGAATACTATATAATTGCTGATTCACTTTAAAAAATATACAACAAAGTGACACGTTTGTAAAAGTTATTCACGATAAAAATTTTAATGCAACTTTTATATCTTAAAAAAGCTCAACAAAATATCATAGTTTTAGTTGTTAAATACTGAGAAATACTCAAAGGACTAATGTTAAGTGAATATAGATTCTACTCCAAAAACCCCAATTAAAGTGAATATTTAAATCTTACTAAATTGGAACACATTTCCTCTAATGGAAAAAAATATATCATGTTAGCATACTTCCTCCAACACAAATACATTTCTAGAAAAACCTTCTTTTCCAACATTGTTCTTTTGATTTGTATACATCCATTTAAATAGTCACAAAAAAAGTAGGCATATGTAATAGTCAGCTATGTTATTCTTGAATTAGTTATACTGAGATTTTCTTGCTCAAAATAATAGAATATAGAAATACAAACTGTATAATAATCTTGTTTCAAAGACAGTCTCTACCAATCTCCAAAAAAAGTAGACTTCCTAACTTGTTATTTTTTGGATAGTAAGGCTAAATCTGTTTACTAATCCATGCAAGTCAAATCCTGCTATATAAGTACCTCATCAATTACATTTTCATTGTAGTAATACCTTGGTAAAAACTTGGGTAATAAGCTACACATCTGTGGGAAATGTGAAACCTGAAACACAACAGACTTAATTTGATAAGTTTTTAAATATATTTCTTCCCTTGTTAAAATTTCATTTCTTTTCTGTTTCTTTTGCTTCTTCTTCAAGGGAAGTTGCACATAATGCAGTGTTTGGACGGCATATATAAGCGCTTGTTTCACTTCCCAGTTCTGCTAACTGTTCCAATGAAGAAACACAGGGATAATGATCTTTTAACATATCTGGTAATTTACAACACTTCCCCTGAAGACGTCGAGAACGCCTCACTGGTGTCAGAAACTTCAAGTCCTTAAATGAAGAACTATTTTCATCAAAATTCATCTTCTTTTTCACACTAAAGGAGAACACAAAGTTATTCCCAAAGCTTCATAATAAACTGCATTATACCTTTTTAAATGCTAACATTTAAGAGGCAGTTCATCTTCAAGTATGATATGAGAACATTAGTGTAACTATTTGTTAATCTCAAAAAACCCCCCAGAAATTAACAACCCATAACTTATTCAACATTCAGGCACAAGCTATGTCCCCCTTCCACCTCTTTTACTCAGATATATTGTAGTCTTCGAAGACTAAAAATTATTTCCCTAAAAAACTCTTCAAAGAATCTGTCTTTTCTTCCTTTCCATCTTATATTCTGTATATTTTCATTTCCACACAATTAGAGATATCTGATTCACAGGAAGCTCAATTACTTAGGGAGTTTTCAACAACAAAAAAAGAGCGTTATCTTATGGGGATAACAGTCTCATTGAGAATATGTTATTTTAGGAATGTATGACAGGAGGTTAACAACAGGAAGAAAAGATGAACTAGTCATGTGGTAGTGCTCTACAGGCACCCTCACAATGTCAGGAGAAATAAAGGATGCCCTCTAGTATACTGGATTAATACCTACTGCTGGATTTATGGGAAGACACAGGATAAGAGTCAGATAGAATAGGCAGGCATGGATGGGATGAGTTCTGCATTGTTGGAAGGGATCTCCAAATTCATGAGTTCACAGACCTATCTGAATACTTGAGAGGTTTTTTGTTGTTATTTTTAAAAACCTGACCTGTGATTTCACCTGAGTAGCTCCCAGTGAGAACATCTCTTCAACTTACATGTTAGCCAGTTGTCTAGGACAGAGGTTTCAAATATAGTTACGTGTAACCCACAACACTCCTAAGTACAGCCCAAATCAGATTAAAATGTAATTAGGAAATATTTAACAAAATAAATAAAAATAAAACAAAACATAATGTGTGTTTTTGTAAGTCACTATGTGGTCTACGGGGATCCTTAAGTACAGTTTAGTGACCCCCATTTCTATTTGAGTTTGACCTTACTGATCTAGGTCTCTGACAGGCTAAATGACTTGCCCAGAGTCACAGAGCTAGTTTGTGTCAGAGGGAGGAGTGGAACCCAGGTTTTCCTCACTGTAAGACCAGTTATCTATTCACAACACCAAGCTTCCCATCATATTTGAGATGATGCTGTGCCAACATAAGAGCATTTTCAGTAACAACAGGTTCATCAACAGGATGAAGTAAAATGACCTGAAAAAAATTTTTTTTGGTGGTGGGGGAAGAATTTAGAGAGGGGAAAAACAGACTGAACACAAGACACTCAAGTAGAAAGATTCAAATGACACGATTTAGTTTGGAAATTATTCTAACAATCCCCACATTTTGGATTTCAGAGTCTTCTTAAACACCAGCTAGATCAGTGGTGTCAAATTCAAATAGAAATAAGGTCACTAAACTATACACAAGGATTCTTGCAGGCTACATCTTGACTTAGAAAACCACATATTAACATTATTTCTGTTCTATTATATTTTTATTTATTTTGTTAACTATTTGCCAATTACATTTCAATCTGGTACAGCATGAACCAGGGCTGCCCACTGCTAGCTAATGTGGAGAGCCGTGTGTCTAACAACTCTGAGCAAAATAATCTAGTTTAAATTGAGTTGAAGTTCAGCAAATTTGGTTGGAGGTTTGTTTGATTTGTTTTACAAAGCATTCAGACCTTGGTTCCCAAACTGTGCACAGTCCAAGGTACCACGGTGAATTCAAAGAATATTTAGGATATTTTAAGTTTTCCAGCAAAGCATAGCGATAATGAATATTCTAATACATCTGTCCACCTGTGGACACTGTGTGAACTACTAGCTCAAGGAAGTTCATCATTTCAACATTAGATGCTACATTCCTTCTGATGACAGTCTCTAATATTTGAAATATATTTTTGTGTATTTGTTCTTCCAGCTATATCAATAACTACTAGAATTTTCTTGTTTCTTAGAATTTTTATATAAATATCTGTCAACTCTGGATCTGTCAGTAATCCAAATTAATTTTTTTCACTTAGCTACTAATTTGTGAGGACATAAATACTTATTAAGTTCTTTTGACCTAACTGCTTGGTAAATGGAACTATTAGGTTTTTCATTTGGCCTAGGGGTACTATGAAAAAATTAGTCAGACACTGAGTGTCATAAACTAAGAAAGTTTGGGAACTTCTGCATTAAGGTATTACATTAATTGTAGCTGTGTGAAATTGGGGCCTAAATGTTAATTAAATTTCTGTACCTTGATACATTGAATTTTGGAAATTTGTGACTTACCTTTGCAAGTATGGAGTAGTTGACACATTATATTTAATAACATAAGAACCTCTGGTATCCTTTTCTGGAGTCTCTAAATCACAGTTTGAATCTTCTGCTTTATCCTTTTGCTCTCCTTCAAATACTTGAAGTTTTACATTCCTTGTTTTATGATCTGTATCATTTGATTCTGAATTTTCCACTGCTGATGCCCCTTCTATATCAATTTTATCCTGATTTATAACTTCATCACATATTTTGTTGACTTTTTCATTAGCTGAACAAGCTTCAACGTTCTCCCCTGAAGAAAATGCATTTATAAATGAGGAACTTCTAGCCAATGTTACAATAAAGCTTTTTGGTTAAAGAAAACACATAGGTGACTAGATTTTTTAAACCAAAAAGGAGGGATAAGTTGTAACAACTTTAAATATCCTATTCAAAACCAACCGACAGCTCCTTTTATCTCCTACTCTACATCTTATAATCCTTTGATGCCAACTTTCATTCTTTCCTTCCCTTTTCATGTTTGATAAACAGGCAACTCAGTTTCTTGTGGAAGACAATTACATGCATAATCAGTCCCATCTCTTTCATCTTCTCCAGTAGATTGCTCCCACAATCGTGTACCACACCCCCTTATAAAACCTTTAATCTCTACCTATTTATTGCTTCCCAGTTGCTTACAGGCACACCCAAATGCCTACCATCTTGAAAAAACCCTTGCTAGATCCTAAAATTCATTCAAATTACTGTCTGGTATCTCTTTTCCTTTTCTCAGTCAAGGTCCTGGAAAAAGCTGGCTATACCCAAATTGCCTCTACTCAATCTCCTCTTACTTCTCAACCTATTGGAAGCTAGGTCCCAACCTCATATACAAATGAAATTCCTGTGTCCTAAATTACAAATGATCTAATTACCAAATCTTATAGCCTTTTAAAAATCTTCATTCTTTTCAACCTATTGGCTGTTTGTTGACCATCCTCTTATTTTGAATAACCCTCAGCTTTGTATTTTGTTGACACTATTCTCTCATGATTCTACTCCTAACTTTGACTACTCATCCTCAGTCTCTTTTTGCTACTCCATCCTCCCTATTGTGTCTCCTACTTGTGGATGTTCCCTAAGGCTCTCCTCTCGGCCCTCTTCACCTCTCTTTTTATGGTGTTTCAGTTGTTCATCTCATCAGCTCCTATTGGTTTAATTTTCTGTTTATGTCTCCCAAATCTATACATTCAGCCTTAATGTCTTTCCTTAGCTAAAGTACACATTTCCAACTCCTTACTGGTGATGTCTCTGAAGTATCTCAAACTCAGCATTTTCAAAACAAAACTCATTATGCTTCCCACATTTCTTTCTTCCGAAACACTAAGAACACACTGTATACACAATAAAAACCAGTTAATAAATAAGGATTAACACAGGACAGCTTAATCCAGAAATATATTCCAATTGATTTCCCAGATTTATTTTGCTTCTCAACTAGCTCCATCAAAAAAACCATAAGATTGGATTGCTCTTATTACGTGGCAATACAAACCCTGCCATACATGTATTAAAGGAAATAAGGTAAAGGCATTAGGTTGTAAAGCCCAAATTCTTTTCAATCCCAAGCTGGATAAAACATTTCTAATAGTTTCATAAAGGTCCCATGTTTCCTTCAAAAACAGTCTGAAAATGTGCTCTCTTGAGTTAAATGAAAATAAAATGTTACTACTCCCTCACAGTGAAGTTATATTGCATATAAAATTCAGTGGTTTTAAAAAAATTGTACTTGTATATGATAATAATTATCTTCAAGCTTATGAATAGCTTATAGAGAGGCATTCTTCATCACTACTGAGGAAAACTAGAACTTTTTTTAATTGCAAAGAGATAATTTAAAGATGGTTAACTTTGAATTTGGACAATCTCTTTCTGAAAGTTGAAGAACCACAGAATCTGAGTTTTAAGGGATCTTAGAGACCATAAAATCTGAAATATCAAAAAGCAGACACATGAAAATCTACCCTTTGAGGCTTGGAAATTCCATATGAGGTTATCTCTTTATCAACCTAGGTGATGAAGAGAATAGAACAGTCAGAAAAATGCAGGTTAAATCTGACCTCAGAAAATGGCTATATGGCCCTGAGGCAAGTTATTGAACCTTTCTAAAATGGTTTCCCTATCTATACAATAAGAAAATAATAGTACCAACTTTAAAGGTTATTGTGATGATCTAATGAGATAATATATGTAAAGCATTTTATCAACCTGAAAGTGATCTATGTTACCTATAATTATAATTTCAAATAATGTCTTTAATACCAAAATATCACTATAAAGTCATAAAACCTTACTACAATGTCACTTAGTCTTCCCATTTATGACCAATTTTCCCTATAAACTGCCCTTTTTAATATCATTTCCACCCTCATATCATGTTTTTTGCAAAGCCAATTAAAATTATCTGTGTTTGTCTATATTCCTGCTCAAAGAAAAGATGAATTAAATGATCTTGCTCTAGGATTTCAGAACTGATTACACCTCATAAAATTTTAAAATATGGACCCAATCTTCACTATCGCATGACAAAAGGAAGGACAGGAGTGTAAGTAA